GTAACAGGTGGCAAGTGCATTAGCCGTCTGCATTCTCGAAATTAGGTTGATTCGAGTATGTTGATCATCAGTGTCGGCCCCCTGTTGATCATGGTTACCGTTCTGTTTATAGCTTATATAATTGATAAAATAATAATCATTGGGCCTGGTTGAAACGTATTAAACCAAATACCCGTGTGACATTGTAAATCATTCAAGTAAATGCATTCCATAAATAGTTACTTTCTCTTATCTTTTCTTATCAACCCCCTTTAAATCGCTCATCTATTAAACACTTTTCCTCCTCTGATGGGTAAACGATCCTTTAAGTAATTATCAGAAATTTATCCAGTGTTATTAGAACTCAAAGAAACGTAAATTAAAAAAAAAATTAATATTTTCTCATAATTTTTTTCCCAGAATTAAATGCCTCAAAGAAGATAAAAATAGTATTACCAGTACACCGCGTTGCTGCTTTTATTTCAGCAATTTAAATATTTCATGTACTACGATTCTCAACTGAGAAAGAATTAACTACGAGTGCACATTTCAATAAAGCGTATTAAAAGTGTGATTAAATATGTAACCAGTTTTTCCACCTGTATCGGCCATTTTTATCGATGAAAATTGTGTGGGATGCACGGTTACACAATTATAGACCGTACCACAAAACGAATTAATGTCCATCACTCAGGAAAAAAAAAAGAAAAAGAAATAGATCAACAAAAGTGAAAAGTGAAGACATCACCGTATTACAAGATTTAAGAATGGGACGAACACAAAACCCATAATCTAGTCCTGTATAATGTATCATTATATGTATCGACACTGATGAGCAAATTATGAGAGTATCTAATAAAACTGGACGATTCGAAAGTGCGGCTGAGCGGAGGGGAGCACAAGATGCACAATATTTAAACTGTCTTTATTTACACTCAACAAGACGATCGACAGATATCACACTAAAATTCGCAACATTCACGCTTCTCAATTTCATTCTTTGGTGGTCTAAGTGATGCGGCTACTAATTAAGCTTACGCGCCCATTTTGCGCCTCCTCCGCTTTGGAACCATGCCCTTTCGAACGTGAAGGATTCGATCATCCGATCGCAATAATATGCACGCGTTAACACATCTGCAGATGGTCATCTACAAGGCACATGACACGATATTAGCTTTTCCCTCAAGTTTTTCTATTTTTTTCCATGCCATTCTCTTTTATTAATATTAATATCTCGAGAGCGGACAGAGAATCCGGTTACTCCGCGTTACACGAGCCCCCTAAGCATCGCGATAAGAAAAAGGAGGAGCTTTCAAGACAGAAAATAATTTGAATACGCTTCAAAATCGTCGGAATATTCTATTAATTAAAACACCTTCGCACGAATTACATGCATTACGTGTTGCAGAATTCCCTTGTGATTTAGCGACGTCTTACAGCCGTTGTTAAGAGTGAATCGTGGAAAATAACTCCATGGGGTGAATTCTTCAAACGTGGAGTCTTTGGAAACGAGACGTGAATTAATTGGATATACAAATATTACGGGAAGTCGTATCTTGAGCTCTCCTATTTTCTCAAACGATGCCACCGCAAGCTTCCGAACGAAATATTCGAGCCATGTTTCCCGTATCCAGTTTCGTACGCTACGCAAAGCTTCTCCGCAGTTGTACGTAACACCGCAACTTATGAATGTCCCATTGGTAATCTGACTATGAAATCTGTCATAAAGTATCCTTGTTGGTCGGAATAAGTATTAGGCGCTACGTGAAATTGTCACCCATACCCTCTTAGTGGATTACTCGTCGAATTAGGCGAAACTTAGCTAATAGGATTGCTCGCGCTCTACAACCGACTGTACGTTCCGAAGGATCGTTAATGGTACCTCGACGTTATCTTTCTACGAATTTTCGCATTCTCGCTTTTAATAATTGTCCCGCCCTTACATGCGCGCAGGCGTGAGTGAGTAACGTGAGAAAAAAGACAAGGGAGAAGTATCCGCGAGGTTGTACCTATGCAAGCACACGCATGATTGCGCGAAAACGCTTTCGTGTCCGTGTGACAATACACGTAGGTATGCTCTTCAATCCGTAAGATTTAAGTTTCTTTACAATTAAATATAGGCTGCGTACGCAGCTTGCGATTCAATCGAGGCGTTCCTCAGCTGTTCGTAGCCAGCTTAGAAACGGTCTTGCGCATTCGCTGCGAGATTGGGCATTCTAGTGATGAGATATCGTTTAGGTGCTGCAACATTTTGACTGGGAAAACTCACAAACGCATCGTCTTTCGAACTGAACGAGAGGGGGGATTTCAATTGAGCGCCCCAGGAAACGACATAACGTAATACCCAATTTAAGGGGAGCTCTCTATCGGGTCGAGGACTTTCGACGCAGTCGAAAATGGTTCGATACGACTCGCAAAGAAAGCACTCTTCTCGAATTAATTTTCAATAGTAATACAAATAAACCGACCAGAGTCGCCCGTGAACATTGACCCGCAACCGGCCGGTGAGCTCATTCACGTAATAAGTACTAGCATATAGATCTTAACTTGAGAACGAGGTCGTTAACAAAGATTCTAAAACAAGATCGACACACATCATATAACGATATAACTTTTTTTTTCCAAGAAGTTCAACGCCTATCGGTCCAATCTACGAGAAACTAGTTGAAAGGACCTCGCACTCCGACGAGCCATGAAAAGGAATGAGAAAAGTTAGTCCGACTCGTCAACGCTCGGATACCGTACAGCACGATACTTACGATTCGTTCATTAAGTACTAGGTATCACCGGACGCGAATGAACACCCAATTTCACATTATATTACGTGTACATAATAAATCCCTAGAAACGCTAAGACCGGGCCTACCTTAATAGTAAAGAGTGTCTTTGAGTGCGAAGTGTCCCAAGGTGGATCCATCGCAAGAAATAATTGGAGTCCGCCACCTCAGTAAACCAGACCGAATGAAAGCAAACCGAAGCGCATTCGAGCACGTTATTCAACATAATTATACAACTTTCAATTTTTCCTAGGCTCGAGTAAGATTCAATTCGGTCTCACGCGTCCTAATTCACCGAGCGGTCGAAGACCTGCGTTGAATACAGACCTGGGAATTCAATAATTTCATTCAAAATTCATTTTCAACAGATATTTGTAAATTCTCTGCAATCAATGAACAAGAAATACTTGCGCCTGACAGGCATTCCAATCATTAGTTAATAAAACATTGGAAAATATAATACTTTCTATTAATTAATAATCGGGATACATATCAAGGCGCACGGACTTCATGTACCGTTTGGAAATAAATCCTCACCGTTTGTAGCAGAAATTTTGTACAAAATTATGTTAAATAATTGCCCAGGTTGGGATGCGTAATGTTTACTCGACCATTACAATATTGTGCTTGCGCGCGGAAATTCGTACTGAACCAAGGATTCCTCCACGTGGCGATCTTAAATCGGTTGCTGTACAACTTTCCTAACCGTCACCAAAAGGAACGTCTAATTGTACGCAACCCTCCTCGCATCTAGAAGTGCTCACATTTCCCGTTGTTCCATGCAAAGATTTGTTATCTCTTGAGCGATCTCTTGTTTCTTGATTTCATTTTTAAGTTAGAGCGGTCAGCATTAATTTGCCAAAGTCTCGCTTTCCTTTCCTTCTCTTCCGATTTTGCCTTTACCGCCACTCTAAAAAATTGTATAGGTAATCGTATGTACGCAATGAAAACACTACTTAAGTTAAACATCACGCAACGTCAAGTCTTCGTGGCTTCATTTAAGGTCTTTTCTGATGAGCACTTGTTTAATATTACTTCCGGCACTTCTTAGATCGTTTCGCTCCTTAGAGCTTAGCCGCGCCGGAAATAATCTCTTCGTAGAGCTCGGGCGTGACTTGGACGTACTCCTTATTGCCAGACCTAAAATACACTTTGTCTTGGATTTTGTTGGGATCGAAACCTTCCTTCTGAAGATGGATCTTCTTTAGTTTGAAAGTGCTAGTCATTTCAAGCTCCTTCACGATTCGTAGAAAGATCGGCCTCGCATAGAAAGGCAGAGCTTTGTCTAGACCCTCGGCTAGAGCTTTAAAGTCCAGAAGACTATCGGGATCAACGATTGCTGCCATACCGGCTCTTCCTTCCATACCCGGAACCTAGACAAAATAAGGCAAAAATAAATGCTAAATAATTTACTCCTTTACTCAGCATATTTTATATCCTGAACAAAATGGCCGAATCGATCCGCTAATAAAATATACGACAAACCTTAACGTTTAACCTTAATCTACGATATTTCTTAATGCTTCATGTAACAAACCTGAACTCCATAAACTGTGGTATTTCTATGTCCAGCCACGTTACTAACGACACCTTCAACTTCCGCGGTCGCTACGTTTTCGCCTTTCCACCTAAAGGTATCGCCCGTCCTGTCCTTGAAGTAGAAGTACCCTAATTCATCCTGCACCAGAATATCGCCTGCAAAAATGAAGTAATCGCATTCAAAGTTAATTCACAACGCACGGATAATCTTCATCTCCAGAGAGAACGACTAACCAGTTAGGAAAGCCTTGTCTCCTTTAACGAACACATTTTCTATCGTCTTCTGCTTAGATGCTTCTTTATCCAAGTAGCCGTTGAATTCCCTCGAGGCGTCATTCTGCTTTATCAGCCCTATGAACATCCCCGGCTCATCTGCGCGGGACAAGATCAATATTAATCGATTTCCAACCGTAAATTTGTTAATGTAACATGTTATTCAAAATAATATCACTCACCGACTTCAGCTCTTATGCAAAACCCATCGGGTCCTCTCAGAGGCTCGCCAGTCTCGGGATTAACTCTGATGATGGCCATAGGATGCATCGACTTTGGCAAAATCGATGGAATAAAGCCAACAGCTCCTACCCGATTGTCTACGTTAACTGTAAATGAAAAATATATCTGTTGAAACGTCCGTTAATCGACAAAACTCAGAAGCAAATTATCATTTATACAATAAATGTTTTATTACCGATATTAGCGTTTCCTTCGCTCGAACCGTAAATCTCGGTGATTTGTTCGATTTTGAAGCGATTGACAAACTCCTGCCAGATTTGGGGTCTCATACCGTTACCAACCATGAGTCTCAACGAATGAGCGGTGTCTTCAGGACGAGCAGGAGCCGTGAGCAAGTAACGGCACATTTCGCCAATGTATTGAGCTACCTAACGTAAGATTTAAATGTTAACGTTGGCACGCATACCGAAGTATACCACAACATCAGTTTCATTTCAAAGTACGGTACAATTTCAGGAGGGAAGAAACAGGAGATTGTGAAGCCACCAGTTTGCATAAAGTAGAGGATTAAAGTTAACCGATCAAATGGATTAACACTTACAGTGCAGTTGTACTTGATACAGTCCGTCCAGTATGCGGTAACTGAGAATTTTGGTCTCAGGACACTTGGGACTCCCTTGGCCAGAGCACAACCGGTGCCAACCAATCCACCTGCCATGTGATAAAGTGGAATTGGATTGTACATTATGTCGCTGTTGGACCTCAGACCCAGCGTGTGAAACGTAGCAGCCATGACCAGTAAGTACCTACAAACCCCAAGATCATGAAACATTAATTAACAGTTGCCACGCAAAACGTGTAAATCACTTAATCTCCAAGTACTTTAACAGAGAAGGAGTCTTCGAAATACTTTTCCATCGTCATCTACGTTTTTAAAAATACAACGATAAGAACAATAAACAATAGAAGTAACAACTATTGTCGTTATATAAGGGAATATCTATCGATGCATCCTACTTCATGAAATACGCTGCATGACTATCAGTTTGATGTAAAAAAAAAAAAGAAGAAAAAACTGCAAATCATGGATCACATCAATTTTCATGACAATTGAATCTAGCTTGAGGAAACTGAGAAGTATTCAGTAGAGTTACTGCCAGGGAAATATCGGAAAAGAACTACTCGTGTCTTGAAACCAGCTGTATTAGGTTCTGAGACACGGTATACGAATATATGTTGTTTTAATCTCATTCTCCTCTAGTTGTGGGGTCTCCCTGACAGGATTATAGATCGTTCATCACGTTGAGTACCGACAACCCCCTTCGTAAACGCATGAGGCGTTACGTAATACGTCGCCAGAGACTCCTGGACTCTGATTAAATCTGCAACATCCTATGTTAACAACCTTACAGGTCGATTAGTTACTATGCACGATTTTTTTTTTCAGATTAATGTACTTTATATTTTAACGGATTTTTATATTTTATTTGTAACCAGTTCTAAGAGACTCCCGGACGTCAAATAAATCTGCGGCACCCTACACGAGGACCCGGTAGAATGATTAGGTTCTTTGGGTAATTCGGTACATTTCACAGACTTTTAAGTTCCCAACGCGCTTGTACGACATGTCATTCGATTGTCTGGGAGGTGATGTAACGGAAAGGGGAGCATATATATCCGTCTAAGCGCTTAAGCGTAGGTGACACCCTCGACCACACGATTCTCGAATCACCTATAAGTATATGAATGATTAAAACTTTGAGTTTGCTTGTGAAATAACATTTCGATGTAATGAGTAAGATGGAAGTCCGTACCTTCACAAGAAAGGGCAGAAAGGGCCGAATCCTTCGATCCGTTCTTACTCATTAATCATCAAAACGGAATTATAATCTGATAGGTTCTCCGTGAACAACCCTCGATTTTTGCACTTACGAAAAATATAGCTCGATGGGTGATATAGAGTACCTAACTTCCTGTTTCCCATTCGATAGGTCCGACATACTCTTTTTACCTGCCCATATGAAGTACGCTTTGTACTTTATTTTTCAATACGTAGATCTAAGCTGATATTTAATGTGAATAAAGCGAACCTGCATGAGAAAAAGTAACCTGGAGGAATCACAGGTTACCCTGGTTCTAATTTTTCATCTGACTTTGCATCACATTTTCACTTTATCTTACCACACGTATTAGTTTTTAATGTATTTACATTTAAGCCACGTCAGGTCGTGACACTTCTTGAACTACTTGTTCCTGAAATTACTTTTTTTACCACCGAAATGAAAGCGTAAATAATGAATATGCATCTCTTTAACTATGTTTGTCTATTGATACTGTTTCAAAGCTTACCTAGAATTTGGAATTAATGCTGCCTTCGGCAATCCGGTGGTGCCACTGGTGTAGAGATACAACAAATTATCTCTGTATCCCGGCTCTTGATCGACAATAGGTTGAGAGGTGCTTGCTTCCTCAATGAGTATATTCAAACTGTGAACATCTTGTGAACCCTCGGGAATCGTGCCGCCAAGCTTGTATCTTGCAATACCTTTGATAGAATCCGCTATCGCGTCGATGGCTGAAGGCACAATTTCAAAATAATAAGAAGACGTAATCCGTCACGGCTTTGCTGATTGAAATTCGTTCATTTCTGTTCATCTCTTTAAGACTATTGGCAATTAAGAACCAAATATAAATACAGTGTCGATTTTTATCCATTCCTACTTAGGCGTTTAAAATAATTCAAAATGATTATTTTTCGATTCGATATTACTTGTTGCAAAGATAAAGACTATTAACATTATTCCAAGGTTCCGAACATTGGAACTTCTTCCATCTGGATTACACAATTTATTTGCTAAGGCTGTCAAGATAAAGTAATCCTGTATACTCATTGATTATACATGGCTTGCATAATTTAACTCTTCTTCACTCTAAAATAAATCCAACCAATAGTAATTTTGCATATCTTAAGGAGTGCAGAATTAAACATTTGAACATATGCGATGATAAATTTCAGGAATATATCCATACATGAATAAATAAATATTTAATTAGAACCACGTTCAGCTCTAAAAATGGATTCATTCTGCAAAGCATGTTTTCAACTACTTGCAATAGATCTTCCGAGATTTATTTATTGACAAAAACTGTTCATCTTCGTCATATGTTTAGGGACAAATAAAAATGTAAAAACATGAAACATCGAGAGATCTGACCATGCACAACCTTCGGATAACGCACCTTCGTCTATTTCATCGGCGTAAATAATGCTCTTTATTCGAGCAACGGTTAGACAGTGAATCAAGGGTTGCAATCGAAGATGAGTGTTGATCAAAGCCGTAATCACCCCGAGTTTTCCCAAACCGAGCCACGTGGCTATGAATTCTGGCCTGTTCGGCATCATCAACGCCACAGCATCACCCTTTACGTAGCCAGCCTTTTGGAACACGTGTGCGATCTGGTTGCTGAACTTGTCTATCTGCAAATGAAAAATAAACTCTTCAGTCGGTACTCACATCTCACTTTTAACATTAAAAGACGTCTATCTGACGTCTATAAACGGCCAAAAGACGTTTTTCACCCCAAAGATTAAATCTAAGTACGAGCCTTTAATATAATCAATCAAAGTCATTTCCTCCGAAATGTCCTCGCCAACCTCGATCAAGAATCTCGAGTTGGAACCATAGTGAACTCAACAGAATTCTGATGAGTTGCCCTAAATCAAGCTCACTCGTTACATAAAAGTTATCTCTCAATGTTTAACCGAAAAAAGGATAGTTTTAACCCTTAACTGATATTATATTCTCCCGTTACCATATAAAATGAGTGTTCTGGAGTGTCTAAACCATCCTACGATATCACTTAAGGGTTAACAGTTAATTTAGTATCAACATTTACGTTCATTAACAATCTCCTTGCAGTCGACCCTGTATTACAAGGATCTATAATCGGGACTTACGTCGTTATTTGTCCAAATGCGACCCTCGAAGATGAAGCAGGGCTTGTTGGGGTACAGCTTCGCCCTTTCGGTGAAGATCTTCATTATCGTAGTGTTGTTCTTCATATAATGTTTCGTCTCGCGGGAGGCATTGACGTACCGGTAGAGGAATCTGGAAAAAAGAGTCGAAAAACGCCAAATTACTCATCCGGCATGCCAAAGTAGGATTTAATACATAATGCTCGGGATTCTCAACGAAACGAACTCCTAAATGGAATTCCTCGGTCGATATAAACCCTGATCGCGATGCTTAAGCTCTCGTTCACATGAATACTTGATTCCGTGAATGTTCCGCATTTGATGAAATCGGCCGATAGAAGCCTTCCTTGGGAATTAAGGAACGCGATCGAGCAGCAAAGAAGGACCTTTTCTTAAGCGGAGGTAAAAAAAAATCCAATGATTTGGCGTGCGTCGAGTGAAAGGGTTACCGGGACAAGGCTATCTGCCAGGAACTTTTATCGTCCGGAAAAATAGCTATATTAATGTTAATCTCTACTTAAACGTTAAGGATACAGGAGGACAGCATCATTCCTCATCTTCATCCATTCCCAAGTATTCCCATTTTCCGGAGCAATAAAGCGGATAGTAACATCCTCGCTAACACGATGCGATTTTACTATCTCTGTAGAAGATATTCTTACCGGCGCCGAGTACTTAGTGTCAAACTTCGGCACTTCAATTTGATAAATATTTATTTCTCAATTAAGAAAACTCATCATGTATCGAAGTACATTTCCTCTTTTAGAGCCTGTAATATTTTCAGATTTTTTACCACCGTTCATTACATACTACACTGATCTTAAAATCTTCAATATTTATTAGTCATGCGATTTCTTACTTATCCCGTCCCTTTTTTAAGTTATAAAAGGCTATACATATTTATAATGAAAAAGTGGTACTATAGGTGTTTTTATAACCACATAATTTTTTGTTTCATGGGTTGCTATAGGTTCATCTTCGAGGCAGTCAGCAAAAGTCCAAGGAAACCATCAAAACCACTTCCTACGAGCTTATCCAGGAAGACTGCGTTAATGGAATCGAATCGATCATTTAATTCCCACGCGATGGAAGAAAATGTGCTCATACCAGGGGATTCGCCCCTTATCAAAGGACAAATGGCTCGTGGAGAGTCCTGATACGTAACCCAGACGGAACACGACGGTGTAGAAACTCGCCATTAAGGCCGATTCAAACAAATCCATGCTGTACAAATTTTTGTTGGCTCACCCATAGAATATAGTCATTATATGAATAACCAACTACTTCACTACCATGGCAAAATTCTCTACTTAATGACTTTCGGCCGACTACATAAAAATATCGTAATAGATTACACCAAATATTAAAATAATTTCGTACGTTTAGCTAAAGTGGTTCGTTGACGATTTTCTAAGATTAACAAAACGCTTTAACAAACAGACTAGTTGAAGCAAACGAGTTTAATCAAGTGAACCAAAATTCGATTCATTCTACAGAGATATTTTCGGAAATGTTTTCTGGGCCAAATGCAATCGATGGAAACAATTCTGTTCCATGAACCAAATTTCTCGTGCATGTACGACATGACATGGACAAGTAACGCATCTGTCTGAATCGGCCTTTAACCGACATCCCCGAAAGGTTCCAACGATAGACGTCGAAAAGCGAGATCGATAAGCGCGACGATGACGACGACCTTATACTAGCCGGGCCGGCAGAAATCTGCAGCGCCCTATATAACCCCTTTATCCCTCGTTAAACTTTACGTAACCCGTGGGCAGAAAGAGGAAGATATCCCTGTCTTCATCAGGTGTGCCATCTACAGGCCCATGACACTTGCCCCCGCCCCTCTGGACATATCCTTTAACATTTCTTCTCCCTCCGTTAACGACCAAGCTCGACATTGCTTGAATAAAAAATGCCGGGTGCTTTATCTACCACTTCTCCATCTACAATACATGGCGTTAATAAAATCGCACTGGAACTGCCTAAAACGAGACAACGAATCTCCAGGGCTTAATTTATTTAGATTTTCGAGCGATCAGTCACCGATAAAGCCAGGAAGCCAGAAAAATATGGAACTTGGTATACTCTGCCAAAATGAAAATATGTCGCAACGCGTGTTCGATTGGTCGTGCACTCTTGAATTAAACCTACGTGGGGTGTGATCTTTAAATCCGAATTATATTTCTTTTTGCGATAAATTACGATAGGATATTCGCGTTATATTGACAACAGTGCGCGGATGTTTCCTCATTTTTCCGCATACGTGTATCGATTAGCGCCCAACAGTGTTCGCGTCTGCGCGATACTCTTTCGATTTTAGCCTTAATACGTTTTTCTTCGATTCTATAGAAGTAACTGCAAGAGGTGAGCTGCATCGGCAATCGATGGATAATCGTTGGCCCGTCTGGAAAGTCTTGCAGGACTTCGAGGACCTTCCTCCTGAACAGGCCCGATGGCCGAGGTTTAACAACGCAATGTTACTCGTTTCGTGATTACGTGTTACACGTATACCTAGCAAACAGTCGATCTGAGAACGCCACACGTGCCTCTGAAATATTCATCCGAAGGACAAATTTCTAAGCGGCTAAAGTGCGACTTGTTTTTTAATACAGTCGCCTGACTAAGACACCCAAAGGTTCCCTGGTCGAAATTTCAGCCCTACTCAGAGCCCACGTAACTTAAGACCTCTTTTTCTCCTATTTCACACTTTATGTCCTCTTTTCGACATTTGACGTCCTACTTAATGCGAATTAAGTCCTACTTTAGGCCTAAGGTAGGAGAAAATGTCAGTCACTTTTAAGGTCTAATGTAGGACCTCAATCGGGCAAAAGTTATCCCTTTATATTATTTCAATACCCATTTAAGACCTACAATTGAAGGTTCTAAGTACCCGAATCAAAATTTTAGCCCTCCTTTGACCCTGCGTAACCTAAGTAAGACCTCTTTTTGTCCTATTTCGGTCTTTACGTTCTACTTTCCACGTTATACGTTCTACTTAATAGGAATCAAGTTCTACTTTAAGCCTATAAGTAGAAGAAATGGAAATACCTACCACCTTTCAGGTCTAAAATAGGACCACCTCTATAAAAGTCACCCTTCTTTATATTATCCCAAAACCCATTTAAGGCTTACAGTCAGCGGTCCTAAGTAGGATCAAAATTTCAACTCGGATCCCCGATAATATAGTTGAAAAACCTGAAGAATGCCTTTTACCTCTCTGTCCAAGCTAGTTTTAGAATTTATAAAAGACGAGGATTCTAACTATAAAGACCTCCTTTGACCCGATTCGCCAAAGACTAGGGAAACTCTTATCCTACTGACTATTTTATCAAAACATCCATCAACAAAGAAAGATGCAAATGTGAATTATTCCCAGTAGCATATACCTTGTTCCAAAACATTGTACGCGGGGAAAAGAAATTCCAAATAGCGGGAGAATTTCATCTTAAATGCCACCCCTAATAGAAAATCTTTAAGACCCAAATAGGAATCCAATTAGCTAAAGCGGATTAACGCTATACACAAAAAGACCACTCTTTGGGCCCCAAAAAAGTTCTGATTCAGGGTCCGCCAAATACAGCATTATTCCGCGAGACTGTATAGGCTTCAACCTCCTACATTTTCGGATTACATTCCTGCTTATACCTAAACAAAAGAAGAAAATTTTCCTCTGCACTTACAATGGACGTAAAAGAATTCAATATTGAAATTACAAAAGGCAGTAATGCTCAGCTACCGCCTAATTTTGGCTGTTAGTTCCCCGAGGTCACAAAACTCGACAAAGTTTCGCGTCGAACACGTAAACATGGGTTACGTAAATATTGTATTTACCTTGGCGACACCGCAGTACCAAGAGTATCATTGACCTCGAGCGAGGTCCTTCAGAAATTAATTCCGAAACACCGCGTCCCTAAGAGAGGCGGGCGAGTCGCGTAATCGCCGCCATTTCTTTGACCCGGAAACAATATTCCAGCTTCTCGAGTAACATAAACGCGCTTAATAATCCCTCTCAATATTTCCAGCGGGTTCGGCCAATTAGTGGCGCTCGTTTTCTCCATACCTCGCAATGGACTCCTCCCGCGATCTAATTTTAGGACACCCGTGACGTCCCAAAATTCTCGAACCAACATGGCGGCCGCTTCCCGGATTCTCTTCTCGCCAAATTCTCACTAAAAGAGACGCTTACGATAGTTGCTAACTGACCTTTGGGTGCGAGGATCGGTAAACCTTTTGCAAAGCCCTACAACGACATGTCCAACTCGTTTGCTCTTACCGTTACATTTTTAATACGGCAATAATCGAACGTCCACTGCCCAGTCTAATCTCAGGTCATTCCATGACGCGCTATCGAACCAACATGGCGAATACACGAGTCAACAAAGCCCTTCAATTTTCAGTACTGGGGAAAAGCAATAGTTTTATTACTCCATTCAGTATTACTACCCGATCGAACAATCTTGGTGGTTAGTTAATAAACTCACGGAAACCAGTAAAAAGGCAAGCAACTGGATGCATTGAAATCGATCGTTCGGCGGGGAAAAAACAAAATGGCTTCCCTCGAGCTACATGTACATTGTTAAAAATCTGTTCGAAATATGCATATAGTCGAAGTACTTTCGAGATAAGTTATTTCAAAATTTCGTACACAATTGTGTTTGGGATTTTAGTGTATATAAATATACAAACTTTAGAGGGCGTGTATATAACCTTTCAAGATTTTTATATACCAATTTTCGAGACAAGCACGAATGTACGTACTCCGAGAAAAGTGCGTTGGGGGACATTTATTAACATTTCTTTTCTCATCTGATATTTTCTTTTCCGTCCAAGTTTCGAAGTATTCTTTGAAATGTAGTACACGTTTGTTCGGTTTCCATTTCGAGTGCCGTTGATTCCAGTTTTAATACACATTTGTATTCAAAAGTGTTCGAAATATTGAAACATTTTTAACGGTACATTACACCGATGTCGTACTAAATTGCTTCGGGTGAGCTGAATTACTTTATGCAATTGTTGTCCCCGGTGCGCGTACTTAGCCTAATTGGGTACGTTTAAAGTGGCAAACGCATTTTGCGAATAAAGAGCGCGATAACAATGAATAAAACAGACTCAACAAGAGCATAAGATCACGCAAGTATCGCGCGAGTATTCCGAGTGCGTAAAACCTCCGGGATACCGCTGATAGGGATTATGAAGACGTCCAAAGTCCATTCATAAATGCGTATGTGGAGTATAGAATAGAATATGAACTTCCTTTTTAGAATAGAGATAATTGGTGGTACATCATGCGACACGATTGCGTATACTTAAACCCGACTTCGATTTCTTGGCACATAGGAATACTGTGCGGAAACCCACTGCGGGAAACTGCAGCAAAGTCGAGACTTCGACGTAATCAGGAAAAAGTCCGTAACAAAGGATGGCTTTGAGTCTGGAAATATTAATTTTCCCTCATTGTAGTTATCGGAAGCAACTCAAGATCCCACCAAATTGTAGTTCTTGCCCGTGCCCTTGTATTTCGCGAGGAAAGAATAATAATTTAATTACAATTACTATAAAAACATGGCTAAAATATCTTTCTAATATGAGCCACGCAAATAATAAAATCGATCACATCGAATAGTAAATCTAACCTTGCCAGTAGTTGTCGTATCCATGATGTATTAAAAAGTTGCAGTAGTGATTACCATTTGGAATGGTAATAATAATTATACAGTGAAGTACGATAAGAATAATCCTATTACAACTGCCTTATAGTTGCCTCGACTGAACAGTCAAGTAACCAGTACTTTGTTCTTTTACTATAGTTACCACAACCTCTTGACAAGTTATCCCATATGTTGACTTGCAACATGGTTGCGATATTTACAATCGTGGCTTTTCTGACCATTCTTTTTTCTCCGTGCGCGTTAAACATGGAGCCTCACTTTTGTCTCTCCCTGTCGAAAGAATTGCCAGTTTTCTGCGATATAGGTACATGGTATTGCAAAATACCTTAGACAAAAGTTGATCCTAATCGTGTGTCCACTATCATTTGTCTGAAACGTTTTTCTATTTAGTGCGTTGTTAACCCGAAAACTTGCTATGATGTATCGTATTAAGACAAATATATTCAAGACTTTAGCCGGGTGAGCTAGAGAACCTGAAGAATCAATTGCGGTTTATCAAAGTTTATAAACATTTACCCTGGTATCTTTCCGACAAACGACCTCAAGTACACAATATGATACAAAGTACGCTGAGAAAAATTATTAGTTGACTGAAACGAATATATGTTGGTGACATATATTTTTGCCGGAATCATATATGAATGCAAGAAACAATTATTTTGTTGACGAGAAATTCATGTAATTCATTTAAAATGACTTGATTCGAATGTGCAATTCTACCAATCGATTATGCGATTGCCTCAAATAAGAAAAAAATTATTCAATGACCTCCATTTTTGGTAGAAATGACCTGCTGATGTCATCAACTATACAAAATGAAACATTTGTAGAGTTGAACGAAAGAATACGCTATTTATCCTGGCAAAAAAAAATTGTTTAACCGAACAAGTATACTTTGTGGACATAATTGTATTTGCCTCAATCGTATACAATTTAAATGTTATAGTATGGTGTGTATGGAACGAATTAATTTTCTGTCAAGTTAGAAAGTAAAGCTAGAACACTCGAATACGGTAAAAGAATCCAATTGCAATGACGATTTCTAAGAGAAAATCTATAACAGTAACGTGGCAGTTATAGATACCTATTATTATACTCCCCCACCATTGTGATGACGATATCGATTATCATTAACCCGAACTTCTCTTTTAAAACTTGCTAGCTCGAAAAGGAAATTTGATTTTTAGGTCGAATTAATGAGCTCGTGCTTACGCACTGTGGTACTCGGCAGAAAAATCGAGCTTAACCGCATAAAAAGAGGTTGCGGAATAGGGAAGTTGAATAAATTACTTTCGGAACTTCTTGCAATTTTTTATCTTCTTTTGGAATATATATTTACCGTGTATCACGCCTGGCCTATATAAAGTCTCGAATCGGCTTTATTATCTCAGCCTTCATGTGTATAATAAATTAACTAGTTTTAACTCCTCTTGTTGGTCAGGGAGTACCTTTCGGCATTTAAATAAGACAGCATAAAAAGTATGTGTATTTTTATACCTGTTTATAGATTACCCATTATTTCGTAAATCCATTGACCGATTTGGCCCAAATTTAAATTCAGAGCGCCACTATAGGATTCCTTCGATTTTAGATAACTGCGATGCACTTACACTCGTAATGGGCGCAAACTATAGTTTACTCCAGAATGAGCACGCTGAAACACTTTGCCCCTAGGGGAAGCTAAAAAACATGATGTTCCAAATAGAAGAAGCTCGTGTAAAGTCGAGTAGTTTAAGCCGCTGGCATATGAAGATTAAAGTTTTACAATCAAAAACGGTTTTTCTCGATTTCTCCGTACAAAATTGCTGCCCTTCCGAGAGGATCGATATCTATGTCTAAAACCACTGCGTCTGTGCTGAGACCCATAAAGAATACATAATAATATGCAGTACAAATAAACATAAATAAGGGGCCAGAGAATGCAAGAGGATAGTATAACCACAGAAATTAATACTAAATATCAAGAATGACCTTTGCGTTAGCAACAATGGATACGTAATACATATGCTTACGTACGTGATAAACATTTCCAAAGTTTAATTAACGAAAAAAAAAGTAAATAGGGAAACATATCGGGACCTATTCTTCCAATTGTACAAATGTATTAATATCACACCTTATTAACGTTCAACCCAATAGCACTAGTAAGTAAAATCCCTGGCAACCTGGAACGTAAATTAATATCGGAGCAGTCCAAACAAATACCGACCTCCCCTCCGAGGAAACGGTCCAACTCTAACCCCACTACTAAATTGCTAAGAATCAATCTCTGCAAAACTGGAGCATCTCGTAATTGCTGCAAAGAGCGACCGAAAGACCGCAATAAGTCAAGATTACACCGCTTACATAAAGAATATCCAGTTTCGGAGGAAACGTCGAATTCCAGGGAACTGAAGGTAACGAAAGCGCAAAACTTGTAAAACTTGTAAAACTTGTAATATTTGTAAAACTCGTAAAACCTCGACGAAAGGTTCTCAGGGCCGTTTACGGTTTTACGGTTATCCGATCCTAACCTCCCTCGCGGTGACCTACGTGGGGGGTACACTTAATGGCTACTCACTTGATGTCGCGGGGTAGCGTCCTCAGGATGATGTAGATCTTGTGGTGGTAGCGAAAGATTATTGGCAGGAGGATAGCGGCGAGGGTGATCTGGGCGATCCTCGCGAAGGATCCGAAGCGCGCGACGACGCCGGCCGCCATCACACCGATGACCGCCAACGCGATAAGCGCGAGTCTGACGTCCATCCTAGGCAGGGGCGCCCGGTCTGAAAGCACACCACCAACCGTACACCGACTGTACCACCGGCCGTGCCGCCAACCGTGCCGCCGGCCGCGCGAAGGGTCACGACGCCGGGGAGAGCGCCGATCGCGAGCGCCACTCCCACCCGCGGTCGGTTCGCGAACTAACCGCCTGCCTGCCGCCGCTCTCTCGACATTGCAGGGTCAACGCTGATAAAGTACTCCAAAGGTTGTTCACGGTTAACCAGAAATTTCGCACACTTTAATTACCGCCAAGGCGCCAATTTGTGGACACTTGTCATCTTTGCGTTATACGCAATCACGTGATTTTTTCTTGACGCTGGCGTCTGGAAAAGAAAGTTTGGTTTTCCCGACTTCAGCGCCAACATTGAAAAAGCGGCAGTTTGTTGACATTTGAAGACTGAGGGAAGAGATAATGGAGAAAATCGGTGGTAATTAAGGTGATATGAAAATGGTATCTAAAGGTACAATGATTTATGAAACTTTTCTCCGAACTGGGCGTACCGAAGCGTTTCAAAATTTACAATGTCAATATGGAGGCTATAAAGAAGGCGCTGACCCCCATAAAAGTTCAATTTTTAAGAAATTTCCTTATAAACATTTTTTAAAGTTTTTATAAAAAATCGAATTTTATAGATGCCAGGACCTTTTGTAAAGCCTCCATATTCACGTGGTAAAATTTCAAACGATTTGGTACACCCAGTTCAAGGAAAAGTTTCATAAACGATTAACCTTCAGATGCAACCTCATATTCCCTTAAATAATTTAAATACTGATTTTACGTAATAACGCTTTTTACTGTATTGCCACTTTTTGTCTGGTGTCGATGTCAACATGTCCACTTTCGAATTCCGCTTTTTAATGTTTTTCCTTCATGCAATTGCCCCATGTTAATTAAACTGGTTAGAATATTTATTTACGAACAACGTATCGTGTCATTTTGAAGCAGGAGAGAAAACAACGTTACGAGTGTGAGTATATCGTCATTGACTGAGACCTCATTTCTCTTCTCTTCTCAGACTCTCATACACGTATGAGATATGTTTTTTATAGTTTGACACGCAAACATAACGTTGTAACATTTTTCATCACTACAAATTTTTACTACCGTCTTTTGTTCCCACGACTAATTTGACGCTAAAATCGAGCATTTAGCTACGTCTGCAAAGTGGAACGCTCTTTATTTTCTTACAGTAAATTACTATTTACAATCACATACGTGTTGGTATTGGCACAATTTGCGTAAACGTTTTCGTTACTGTTGTTTACTTTCAATTCGTCGTTTAAAGGTTCGCGTACATTATAGATGGGGCGGGTTGCAGCGCATCGCAATATTCCGTCAGTAATATGCGATAGTCCATATAAAATCTTTGAAATCAATCCCGTGGAGATTTTTGCAATGCAATACACTGCAATCCGCTCCGACTATAATGTGCACGAGCCTTACGGTGATATGAAAGTGGCGTCAAAGAGGTCTCTGATATTACTGAAGGAAATGATACTTGGAACGTCTAAATAAAAATAAGAACTAACAATAAGCGGGTCTATTGCCAGCTGTGGAACGCAATTTAAAGGTGATGGTGGGAGATCAAATTTGACATAGAATATTGAATTTTTATTTTCAAGGCAGACACACCTCGCGGGTATCTAATTGTACGAGATAAGTTTCAAGAAAACTTCTGCCGATAGGTTTTAAAACTGAAGTGGTCATAAATTTTACTTCCACTTTACATGCAATTTCTAAACTCATCCAAATCGTAAGGATTTTAAATACATTCGTAATAAAGTTTATGTTCTGTTTCGTTATCGGACCCCAAATCATCTTGTTAGTTCCCATTTATTTTTAAACCAGTTTTAGGATTTTTGAGATCGGCAGATTCAATTCTAATGCTGCCCAATAGAGATGTTCTGTTCGATAAAGTTAAATAATAACAATGAAAACTACAAAATCTTAGGATCCTATGACAGGGAAGACCCATTTGAACGTATTCTCGTTACTTTTACTCGTTCAATAATCAGAGTCCGTATCGATCATGAAGTAGAAAACGCGAAGAAACGTCAGTCTCTCCATGGAAAGGAAAGCATTACCTCGACAGGCTGGACATGGTTCTGAACTGAAGTTTCCAATGCACGAAATATAATGTAGGTGAATCATCTATGTATCAGAGTCGCAGTAAACTCCCATGACCCACGGTCTGGACGTTTCGGCGCGGCGTAACGATCGGCGCATGCGCTATGCGGTTTTCTCGCGAAGGGTTATCGCGCCACCCTCACGCCACGTTCGGTCAACCACTACCCCCTAAGCCCTTGGCGAAACCGGGCCGTCGTCTTGCGGACAGAATATCTATTTGCCCAAATTGTACCTTTCATAAAAAAAAAAAGAAATACTTTTCGGCCCCCGACCGGTTCCCTTGGTAAAAAAAACCTCCGGAGGAGGTGGCTAAGTATCGAAAACTGCGCAATAGATTCGCTCACGAAATGTCAGCCAATGCGGGGATTGCCCGAATTAGATTTTAAGCCCGGCATTTGACAAAACGTCAGAAGAACCTTTTGAGTGGAACGTTTCCCTTGCAATGATGCGTACCGTACTTCCCGTACTTCAGTGGAAATGGCCTACTTCAATGGGGTGAACTTCTGGTCAGACACGACGGGCGGGCACGATTCGACCCATTTGACAAGTCCATGACAATTCGCGCGGCAATAGAGGTTAAGGTTGGTTCGGGCCAGTTGAGAGATGGGAATGTAGATAAATGTGAAATAATTGACATTACCGTGGAATTGACAACACTGGATGCAAACTGAGCGAAACTGCACGCTCGAGCACTGCCGCGCGACTACTCACATCTGGAAGAGCCCACTATGCATGCGCGTTTAAAGACCAATCAGGGAGCACGCAGTTATCTGCCATCTTGGACTGGGCGAATTTGAAAAAGAAAATATGAAGAATTGATTTCCTCGTTTTTTTCCACTTGTTATTTCACTTTATAAACAGTAATTATTTACTATTTATCATACATGCTCAATATGCAATGCGCATGTTACAGGATAATTAAATTAGCATCGTTCGTTTCATAGTCCATCAGTACGTTTTTCCAGCAAGTGATGAGATAACGCACCAAGTTTATGAGAACTTAAAAAGATGTACGTACGTACACTTGTTGGAAAACAATGTTTCTAATACTTCCTTCACCAAATTATATTTCGTTTCAATGGTACTTCATGTTTCAGTGAATTGTAAGACTGTTATGTTGATGTATTTATGATCTATGTTTAATAAATAATAAAGATTACTACTTGATACTATTCATTCATTGTAACGCAATATTTGTAGTACTACAATACATGTATATGGCTGACACTTAATAGCTACTTCTCTGCAGTGCTGAGCAATCTACATTGTCAGGGCATATGTAAAACCCTGTCGGTATCTTCTTACGTAATATAGTTATCAAAGTTCGCGAAAACATTTCATTTATGGGCGCTACTGATAAGAACGGCTTCTGCGATGTACATATATGTGTTCTCATGTACATACTTATTACACAGTTTGTAACATTTGATAAATGCACTATTTTGTCACGCCCATGTAGCAAATCTATTATATAATTAATGCAAAATTTAACTTAGGTACACAATATGTTAATAAAAAATCGGTGCTCGAGGTGGCAAAGAAAATATCCTACATACCGATTGGATCTTATTTATTGCACGTATGTATGATACCCGTATTTGCAAAGTAAAATTGAAACTTTTTTACAAACATTATGTATTTATGTATTGCAGGTAGGGTAATGACTGAGAGGATAATTCTATCGTAAACCAGTGTCGTGGAGAACAGATACGTGCGACAAATATGGGGAATATACTCCGCCACTTTGTGGCAATTTACAATGCGCAGCAAGTACACTGAATAATCAATAACATTGTAATATACCCGGTGTCTTGATTCAAAATTATTTACAACTCTCTCTTACCACTTTTTGAATAATAAAATGCTATTCGAAATGACATTGTATGGAAGGCGAGACATTTTTTAATTGCCTGCAGAATATTATGGACAAGCCAAATGTTACTTCTAAAATAATTTTAATCATTCAAAAGTGACAAAAATATTATGTTAAGAGAGTGTTTCAAATTTCAATTACTCTAACTGTTTTTTTACTGTTGATTTAGCCTAGATCTTCGATATATTTCAACCTTGTTCGGCAGTTAAAGGGACATAACATTTGTCAATGTCAAGGAAATTCATAAGAAAATCTTAGCACGATGTCCAGCAGATGTTCACAGAGGGGGACGTAAATTGCCCTGACTCAGCATTTCGGAAGTAAAGAATGTTTTTTTTTTTCATGCTTCGCAAATCCCTTTACCTGCTCAGTTGGTACACTAAGTGTTGAACAGTGCAAATTTATAATCAGCTCCACAAATACTTTTTTCCATATAACATATTCATGTGAGAGTCTGTTCAGTATGTAGGTAAAACACAACGTTACACACGACAATGGTTTTAAAGCCTGTTTCAGTCTTTAATCCTTGGGTTCCTTTATAACAGTAACAGTATTTTTACATCCTTTTCTACAGTATGTGTATACATTAGAAGCAAGTAAATTACAAGATTTGACTGTCATTTAATCAAAAAACAGGGGGAATGCATGCATTATTTTCGAATATCTCATGCTTATTAAAAAATCTCTTAATTTTAATTCTTACTTAACTAAACCTATGTGAATTAATTGCACTTCCGCGAATAAATCATTCACGATGATTCAAGAATAGAAAAACATCCTAACAGGACTAGTCGAAATTATATATGTTGAGTTCGCCACATTTATAGTTCGAATTACTTAAACAGATTCACGGGCGAAACAACGTCGCTGAAATATTCGCGTTCAAATGTGACAAATTACTAGCTTTAAAAATATACATAAACCTTATTAAAATACGTATGTATTTTTAACTCATACTATATCGCCACATTTAACGTTTTCAGTCTGTGCTTTTTGTTGTATATTCCTCTGAATAACAGGTATGCAAAACAGCATAAGTCCGCTGATAGCAATCATACTTCCAGCTACGTAGAATCCAGGATCGTACGAATGAAGGACATCGTACAACCATCCTGAAAGCAATGTTCTTTTTTATTAATTAATTATAATTTGGTTCATTTATAAATATGTAATTATATGATATAAGTTAAAATATATGCAATGAATTGACTGCCAGATAAAGTAATTAAGAATTCAATAAACAGTATTTACTTTTACTGATGACTTATCTCTATTAATATTCATAAACTTTCACACCTGCAATAGGTGGTCCCAATAAAGATGCAACCCCTTGGAAGAGCAGCAAAAGGCCGAATGCATTCGTTAGATGATCTAGGCCTAATAAATCGACTAGAATCACTGACGTTAGACCTACGTAAGCACCAGCAGTAAATCCGTACACTGTCGAATAAAATGCAAATGCGGTGAAGCTTCTGCAGAACACGCTAAAAGCGGTGGCTGAAAAAATAATATTCGGCCATGAAATTCAGATTCCCGATCTTGTTTTAAGATTCAAATAATGCGCAATTAATTATAAAGAGAAACTTTCATTATAGTATCCAATATACATATGCGCTCTCGGTGATATGAATTACTTTGTACTTACAAAGACCACAAACGGTTAAACAAATGTTGTACACCAGGAGCCGATTGATCCAAGGCTTATCGGAAACATAGCCTAGGGCAACTCGACCTATTGTATTGGCAATGCCGATAACTGATAATAAATAACTTGCATCCTCTTTCGACATGCCTTGTTCCTTCGCTTGCGCCTGTAAACACAGAAATTGAGAGAATGTAGGGTCCATTGTATATAAATAAACTAAAGATCACATGTAGTACATAATTTTCCGTGAATTCATGAATGAATTTTCATCATATGTTAGAATTCAAATTAAAGTAGTACGAACCACTAAGTAGACATAAGGTATGTTAAATCCTATACTGGTGCAAAAGTTGGACAAGCTGAACAGAATGAATACTGGGTCCTTCAAAAGCGACAATTCCAGCATCTCGTGCAGGATGTCGATTGTCTCCTCGGCATAAGGAAGACATTCAAAATTCTCTTGTTTATGAGTGGTCCCATTAGGTAAACTTCTCAGTGACGACCGGACATTTATGTTCTCTTCGCTGTGTCCCAGTGAACCGCTGCAATGTATTATTTTGTGTAATATTTGTAACCCCAAACTCTTCGTCATACATCCTATACACTAGCATGCTTTATGGTATTAAACAATTAGATTTTGAATCCATCAATACGTAAAAATGTTCGAAGAAGTTGTAGACTCAAGACTATTGGGTATCTATTGTATTGATTTAAAAAATGAACTTTTATCGACACTTTTAATTAATACTAACGATCGTTTTCGGACATTATCCAGGCTTCTTTGAAAAAAAACATCACGACGATTCATTATGCCACTGCCAAAAGACCCCGTCATGAATTCTCCATGGTGGCCGATAGGTTTCGTCGCAAGCATTGGTTGACTGAGTGTTCTCAAATTGTTCCTCTCATCGGTGCTGACGACTAAATATTTAGTATTGTTAACGTTCGCAACACTGCGAGGCCGGTGGAAATCATTCTTCATCTCCCTGTATTTAGGAGTTAATTTTGAATCTACAGTGAGTTCCTGTGAATAAGAATACTCTTACTTTATTGACTAAATTATATTTTGACCGTATACATGAACTGTATTATTCATTACATTAATTTATAACGAGGTTACCTTTAGGGCAATGACTTCGACTGACTTGCTGGGCTCCAGAGGTCTGAAGAGCAATCCGAAAATCGTACAGTTGAACACCATTCCACCAAGGATCACCATTGCTCCCCTCCAACCATAAGTGGCGATCAACATCTCGCAAAATGGAGCGAAGACGAAAGTCCCAAGACCAGATCCACAAACTGCTATTCCGGTTGCGAGAGAACGATACTTTTCGAAGTAGCACGTTACGCTCACGATGGCAGGGAGGTAAATTAGACCAAAGCCAAGACCTAGACGATGAAGATGAAAAAGACAAACATTAAGTCTTCATTTATACATTTTCGGATGAAACTAGAGTGCCGTAAGTTGTGCAGAAACTAATATTCTACTTTATAATAGGTGGATCAAAAAAGGGGTGGTATTGTTTTAGAAAAAAAAAAGGAGGCAGGTCCTGTTAGTGATCCTTACATTAATGACTACAATCCTAGAGAGATTTAATATTTAAGGTGATGCGAAAGAGGCGTCAAAGAGGTCTCGTTTATGAAACTTTTCTCCGAACGGGGCGCACTGAATCGTCTGAAACTTCACAATGTAAATATGAAGGCCACAAGGAAACTTCTGATACCCATGAAATTTAAATTTAAAAATTCGTTTATACACATTTTAAAATTGTTCGTATAAAAAGTGAAATTTCACGCGGGTCAGGACCTTCCTTATAGCCTCCATATTCACATTGTAAAGTTTGAAGCAATTCAGTATTCCCAGTTGGGAGAAAAGCTTCATGAACGACTGACTCCTCAGATGCCACTTCTACATCCCCTTAAGAGATACAAGATTCCTTAAATATTTTATGAATAGTCCATGAATCGTTTAGAAATTTGATATTTAAAATTTACCATGTCCATTCGGAAAGAATATGTATCTCGTGGACCCAAGTTTTCTTACCTTACGTACCATGGGATGCGTCCATTGCAGCTTGCAGTTTGTCAACGAGTTTACAAGTGTCAGTGACCGATAAAATTCGTCCCGCGATTATCAGACTTAATTGAATTTTGCAATGACAGCGCTATTTGGACGGGTCTTAATTTTTTATCGGAGCCGGGAATAATTGAGTAATCTTACCTGTGCCGATGCCGATGGAGAAGTACAACGTCAAGATATTTTGAGCAAAGGCACTTAGCACGAGACAAGTAGATGCAAGAATTGTGCCGGCGATCGTCACTGCTTGACAACCGTATTTGTTCACAAAAGAACTCGATATAGGACCTAGAGAAAATGAAAGTAATGTTAATCCTACATCCTACACATGATACTAAATTAATAGTAAATATTCAATAAAAATAGCCACTAATGCCGATGAAGAATTGAAGACAAGAGAACTCGTTTTTGACGTTTTTTGAAATGCTCACATTTACAAAGGTTGAAAGAAAAACTGATGTCTTATTATGTAACGTGAATACTATAATGAGTTACTTCGTAACTGCGAATTAACATTTCAATAACCGAGAGAAACAATTAAGAATATTTCGTAAGACTAGAATGCCATTGAAAGGGTTATAATACTCAATACTGGAAGGAGATTTCCCAATTGTCTTGCGCTTACTATACAGAATTCATGTCTGGTTCGTTTCCATATAATAATTTTGCAGTTATTACATCCAATTTATTGTATCGTAATCAATCCATTAATATTCACAATAAAATAGGGAATGTGTTGATTAATTCGAAGGTCAATCGCGACAGCAGTTTTTTTTTTTTTAAGAAAATTAAGAAAATAATTGTAACGTGTGAAATAATTTAGATAAAAAATTCACTTACTTATGTGAGATATTTACCTGAACATAATGTAACTCCAACGAGAAGAGATGCAATCCAGGCAGTCTTTCCTTTTCCTTCCTCGAAGTAGTAGAGAAATTCCAAGTAGAATATTCCAAAAGAGTACATCACACCATCGGCTGTAAAATTATTTTGCATGATTTCATAGATTTCATCCTCATACATTAGGATATAGCAATCAACAATTGAATCTATTGTGTCTATATCTATTTTTATGACCAGCAAACAATATTACAGATTTAAGACGTGGTCCCTATTCAACAGGTGTCATTTACGTAATACTTGGATACGTGGATTTATTTATTTATCTTCAATACCGATATCACAAAAACAGCTTCACAGTTTGATTTTCCTTTTATTCGGCTTTCGATCACGGAGAAAAGAATCCATGCCAATGACACTGTAGATAAGCCTTGATGTCACCAAGTCATACATGTACGTTGCATTGGTATTGTCATGAATCATGCTACTGAGACAAGTAGAGAAAAAATTCCCGGAATACCGAGTATACTCGCGTGCAAAACACAACTGTTATAATAAAAAAGCAATTTAAAGGAATTTAATGTAATGATGTTTAATATATCTATAAGTGGAGATTCGTTCCCTCGGCACAAAGTCGTTTTCTATTAGGGGTATTTCATGATGAGGGAAAGATATGACCTTCAAAGTGATGATTTTACGTCTCGCAGCGTATGAAACTTATCTCTCAGTTACATCTAATATACGTTACTTAAAACACCGTACTTTAACAATCCCATCGATTATAAAATGCGCTCGAAATAAGGCAAGTCATAATCTGAAATGACACTCGCGTGCCCTATTTAAAAAATTAGCTTTATACTAACTAAAGCACCGCAGGCCAAAGTACTCTCGTTGAATCAAGCTGACATAAAACTACTGTTTTACCGGTTGAGTCTAGCAACAGTCAGACGTCCTGCAAACGTTCCTGAATGACCGAAGGTCGAATTAATTTTCAAATCCACACAATAGGTCGTAACAAATCACTGGGCTCTTCGTTTCTTCCGTTTTTCAAAATCGGCTCTCAAATTCATTTACAAATCCTATTAAACATTTCAAAGCTCGGAAAAATCGCCAGCAAATTTTTAGGCCTGCTCATCCGAAACAACGCAGCGTCATTTTTGCTAGCGGGATGATGCTGGAATTCTTGAATCTTTTTTTTTTTCAAAGGCAATAGTATCGATTTAGCCTAAAGACGAACTCTCGGAGTTTCTTCCATTTTTCTGCAACGGGGACACCTGATTTCTCAGACTAAAAAATTAGGATTGCGAATTTTTCATTCAACAATTGTCAATTAACTTCGTGACACTCGAACACTGACCATGCGCACTGTTGCGCCCTTCCCTAAACGTTGTTGATAAGTGAGCGAGTAGGCAATCGGTATACCAAACATCTGTTAAATTTCTACATCGCTCAATGATTTCGTGAATGAAAACTTTAAGTCACGGTTTCAAGAATTTTGGCATCGATCAAAATGATTTCATAATATTAGTTGTGCCGGGGTGCCGTTAAATTTGGACGTCGCCGGTCGACGAGTCAATGAATGGAGACCTCGATTCACAATTTCAAGAGGTCTGGCATTGATCAAACGAATGTTAGTTACGAGGGGATGAAAGTTGTCCCGAAGTGCACACCTTTTGGACGTCAGCTGCACCGCTGTGCGGCATAATCGCTGCAGTGCAGCTGCAGCTTGCTCCTTTCCGCGGGCGACGATTTGCGCAATGTGGACTTTCTAGTTCAATGGTAATACGGTAATACTGTTATTAACCGACGCAATTTCGCGTTTCAGCATCCACGTAACCGAGTAATCACCCGAAAGTACGTTTGCGTTGCACCTTGAACGCACAAGTTGCAAGGAAATTGCACTTGACTAATTGTAAGTAAAGAAGGGTAATCCATTTAAGACGCTTAAGAACCCAGTTATAACATATGGCGTTCAATACTCGGAACAATAAAAGATACTTTTAATATATTGATTAAACCGATAACAAAGTATTGTCAGAATTAATTGCCTTTTAGAGAATTTAATTACCTAGAGGAGTACGTTCGCGGATTTGCATTTTTCTCATGGAAAATGTCAGATAGATTGTGAAATTCTGAAGGTCGGTAAATGCTGTAATAATTGCATCTACTGCGCCTCCCTTCACTTTCGGTTTGATCGTATTCGCAGACCTTTCATCAAATTACCATTAAGGGTAATCAAATTATTCCTTTCCAAGTGGGTCGTGGATTTGAACGATTTAGGACCGCGCCATTATGCTCGCAAATTTATCCAACGGATCTGAACCAATCACGGTGTTTTAACTAGCTAAAGAAAAAAGAACTGGGTTTGTTCGGTTTAAAGTTACTTCAAATGAAGTGTAACTCCTTTCGTTGATTATTTCCAACTTGTCCAACTTGACAGGAGGAAAGCCGCACAATGAAGTACGTACTATCGACTAGGTCCATTTAATGAATATTTCGATACTGACAAAGTGCTCCATTAACGACCACGAGAACGAAGACAATTGACATAAAACATAAATGCCGAACCCCACGACCTATGGCTTCCATTCATTACGACCAGGCTGTTCCCTATTAAATAAATCAACGGTACAAATGGAATGTTTATTCAGCTTGCAAAAAATACGCCATCCTCCATCGATGACACGAGTCACGAACATTTGACCCCTTAATGGACAAGTGGAAAAATTGCTTATCACAAGGTGTGTATTGCATTCTAAGATAACCTCGATTTGTTGGTAACAAAGTAATAAGTGTATAACATTCTCATATAATTTTATCGATGATCTGTATCGATTTTCCTTGAATACAGTGCAGAAAGAAAACATGATTGCACTACACATGAAATGAATTTAATCTAGAGTATCGCGCCATTTCAAACGATATCAGAAACACTCGATACTAGACCGAGCTGAACAAATCCGCTTTTTATTTACCAGATGTTCACCCAATATTACTGCAATTTTTTTCAAACGTTTTTAGCAGTCCTATCGAAGCAATTTGTTGTACCCAAAAAATTGTGGAGAACTTGAAGATTTGAATGTAATATAAAAAATTATCCTGTTCCCCGTTTGTCCACCTAATATTATAGGAATTATCTTCGAAGGTTTATAGCAGCGTTAACAAAACAATTTGTTTGACCCAAAAAATTATGGAGAATTTGAAGGTTTGAAAAATGGCGGAACGTTTTTAAAAATTAGCTATTTAAATTAGCAGAATATTCCGTGCAGTTTAGAGAAGAGTATTCTCGACTCGTTTAATTACTTGCACGAACAAACATGGTAGAACAGTTTCCACCTTAAAATTAGAATTTTAATTACTAAGGACTTACTGGAAAAACAATTCGAGCGTGCTTGTGCAATCGCGAGTTTTAATGTTAGATTTGTGGAATACTGAATAGCTAATTGGATACACTTTTCAGTGAATTGTGTGAAAAATGACTTATTCAATTTATGGCTCATGCAAACGCAGTACCTCGTAAGAACCATTTAAACCATAAAACTAAACTTTAGACATTAACATATTTATCAAATGAGACTTTGGATTCATAATAACAATTATTTCTGACTTTATGAGTGTACAGGAACTTGATGCAGTTAAATTCGAGTAGTTAATAAAAATCTCTAAAATTTGAAGAAAATCAACACTCTTGGAGGAATTGAATGAATTATTCGCTGAATGCACTGTAAATTCAATTCATTATTTGGCGAATTCACTGTAAATTAAATATTTTTTTCAATGCCTCTTGAGTGGAGAGTTTTTCTCACAGTCAACGTAAACTTTGGAACAAAGCTCCCTCCCAGAAGTAGTACAGCAAAGGCATGCAGAAAGCTCGAGCTCGGAGACACTCGATACAAGAAGCTGATATGACAAGAACGTATCTCCTCGTACTTACACACAAGATGGATCATGAAGGAAGCGAAGACAACGAACCATCCCCAACCACCGTCTGGTGGTTTAGGTGCCACTTGTGTTGTCTTCATCGACCCGGCATTTTCGAGGGCGCCATGTTTCCCGGCCCTCTTCTTCTTTTCCGTCCTTGCTGAATCCTCGAGCACGTGTGCCATGATTTCGAGTAGAAATGATGGAAAAGCTCCGGACAGATGTTCTCGCGATGCCTTCGGAGTCTCGCCAAAACTCAACTTCGATTTCAGCCAACTTCGTCACTCTTGACTTTTCTTATTACTTCCTCTTGATTGTTTTCTTTATCCCTCGGGAGTGAGAGGGAAAATAACGAGAGAGGGAACGGCTAAGGAAAACTGAATTGGCATGCCCTTACGGTAGGGGAATAATTTCAGGTCCACCGAGGGTGATTTAAAATCCCGAATTGATTCAATCAGAGGAAATGAAAGAGGCCGAGTCAAACAAACTCGAATACTCGAAAACTCGCCCCGTTGTTAACCACTTTCAAAAAGGACTGAGGGGACCGAGTCGCTCGAGAAGCGGCAATTTTCGAATACTGATATTTGGTCATATTTCTCAAGACAAGTAATCCGCGGCAAATTTATTTAACGATAACGGGGCTCCCTTGAGCGCGGTGATTTTGCAACGAGGAAATTTTTTAATCTAGCTCTTAACGATCTACTCGAAGCTGAGGTCAGGCTGAAAATCACGCTACAAATGAAGTGTTTCGAGAAGACCCAACAATTTTGAACACTTATCAGGTACTCGGGTGTATTTACTAGAACGAGTCACTCCGGTCAAATTTCTCTAAGTACACTCCCGATTACTACGTCTCTTTGCACTTTGAGTATGCTATCACTTTATTGCAGGGAAAATATGGAAAATCAGAAATACATTGACAATATGGACAAAAGCGTATGAATAAGATTCTTTAAGGAAATATTACTTCCTATGAGAAAAGGTGGAATAATATTAAACGATACTTTAGGACACGAGCTCTTTAGCGTACCGAAATCCAGAATGAAAATGCTGAAGTATTTCAAATAAAAAAAAAAGAAAAACAATCAGCTCGTACCGTAGGGCATGTGACAGAAGTGGAAAGGAGCAAGGAAAGAAAGAGTTCGAAAACCGGCTGCCAAAACGTTACATATTTCTGAATGAAAATCAAATGAAGACTGGCCAGCCGATTGCGTTCACGGAGCGATCGCTGATATTCCTGGTGTGAAGTCCCAGAAATATTTGTACATCGATAACCACTTTTCGATAAAATGAAATCCACGGCGACACGTGTCACCGAAGCGATCATGTGCTGTCCACTTGTCCATAAGCCCGCAATTTCATCATCGATGATTCGGAGGAGAGGATCCGCTTGTCCTTATGTTACTTCCGAAAACATATTGCTTTCCTTGGAATAAGTGAAGTTCCCAAAATTGTATTCCTTATTTATCCCTGATTTGGAGGACGTCCCTTCAAATGATCCATGGTTTGTCCTCGGGCTTCTGGACGTCACTGCACAAAATAACATTTTTACAATATTTCCATCGCATGTAAAGATTTCATTAAATTGCACAGCGCACGGGTTCGATACTGGAGATTTAATTGATAGAAAATCGAGATTCAATTAGATTGGTCAAGGTAACCGAGCTAATATTAAACTTCGCCGCGATTATTGGGTTTCTTAATGTATTCAATCGATTCCACCGAAAGATTAATTATTCACTTGTGAAAAGAAACGTGCTATATTAAAATTCAGAGAAAAGTGGAGAGAAATAGTCAAATTTGACAGATAAAAATTACATTAGAAAAATAGTCTAACTTGTTTCGGACAGAGAAACAGAACCAGTGCCACGATGCTTTGCGACTGGCAACAAAGATTCGAAAAATCGCCAACAACGTTTGCCTCGCTGATAATTTGAATTACTATTCACACTTGAGGCTATCAACAACTTGTGAAGGTTCGTGCTTATCGAAGCATTTGGAATTGCAAATTAGTTAGATCTTGCAAACCCAACACGAAGTAATAATTTCAGTAAAATTCATATTTCACGGTATCCGCCGTCATTATTTATTATTACTATTACATGAAAAAACTTCGGAAGATTTTCGGTAGAATTCACTGCAGCGAAAAATCCGCACCAATTTTTTTGGTTACCCACAATTTTTGTTGTATTTTCTGGTCAAGTTGACACTATAAATCTTACTTAACCACAAAGTAGGAAAAATTGCGGTTAACAATCCGAGAGCCCTTTATTGTCCAATGATGTTTAAAGTCAAATAAAAGACAAAGATTTACGATCCCAAAAATTAATTTTGAAATAAGGTTTCCAAGGTAATAAGGAACGTTTCTTGAGAGCCCTTCATAGTCTACATGTAATTGAATTTTCCTTTGGCTTGCAACATTGTTTGACATCTATGTAAGTGCCACATTGAGCGCAGGGTAAAAAGGAAATCAGGTAATAACAAAACGTTCCAAGCCTCCTGTTAAGCTCGCAATTCCAATGAGAACTCTTAAGAAGCTCTTAAGGTAATAGAAAGCGCACTTCTATAAGTTTTTCCTTTACATCCTCTACTTTTCGTTTAATTATTTCTGCTGTTCAGGAAGATACGATCGCGAGAGGTGTCTCCTTGGATTATTAAGAAATTCTACTCTACTTATATTCACCAAATAGAGTCTTGGAGCATTTCTCGTATAGAAAAAAAAAAGGATGCTGCATGCATTTTTGTTCCAAAACGAAAGCGCTACTATTTAACAAATTTCACGTATAAATGTACCAATTCTTATTAATTCTTATAACAAATTTCATAAAACTCTCCATCATTAATAATAACAGTTGTGCGTAATAGTTATAGATTAGGATTTAATTTCCTACATTTTGGACTTAGTGTATTATACGACTGTACTCAAAAACACGTTTATCAGAAAATGCTCCGTTTTGGAGGAGCCGATATCTCATCGGCTCGTCAAAACGAAAATATTGGAAATAAATCATCCTTATCCGCAAGGATAGACCGCCTCGTTTTCGACGGAAAGTGGATTTCTTTCAAGGTCACTATCTCCGCTCCGCCCCTGACATCTGAAGCTCTTTTATCACCCAAGTAAAAAAAGAACTTTTTATCATGCACTCCGAGCATGTCGCTTCCCGATAACTCGGTTTATTTTGAAATCTATTTCACGGGAGGTCTCTTTCGCCACAGGTCGAACAAAAAATGTATTAATATGCACGGGCGGTAAATCGCTTATTAACACACCATTGTCACGCCAACAGGCACCGTATAAATTAACTGCTGTCGTATCGATTAATTTTCCACGTATAAATATGAACACCTGTCGTCTACATATCTCAATCGTATATAAACTTGATATAATCCTACGAGATGCCCTACGAATATACGCAATCCCTTTTTATCCTCTTTTTCCCTGCCATCCTTGACATTACATTTCTTCAGTAGGTGATTTTAATAATCTGAACATACGGGACGGTATTAAGCACCCGATAATACAAGTAGATACATTAAAACACATTGTAGTAAGTGCACTTTGATTTTTCAAGAGGTAATTCTATAAACATATGCAAATGTTATTATATAGATAGTATTGGGCGCACGATTAATATGCACAGGATCATTTATCATTATTTATGCAGAGGAATTGTCTCAGTACCGTACGTACGATATACGGTATTCAAATTGCGAACATGGTGCATTATGCTCACGTGTTGGGAATCCATGTGCGCGATTCTACAGTGTGCGACAGTCGTACGTGCAGTTCGTGCATCTCTGTCCTATAAATATCTGCGCCTTGGCGTGATTCTCTTTCTTCCCCCTTCGGGTATGGCCAACGTTTTCTGATTCTAAGCCACGACTTCTCGCTTGTATGTATTTACGGTGATAGGGAACCAGTCGGAATGTGCGTCGAGGCTTGCCAGACACTCCAAAGAATGGCTCCGTTCTCGCGAGAACAGTATGGTAATTTAGAAGAAAAAAAAAAAGATTAATAAACCCATCATCGCCACTGCGCAGTAACGGCCTGATTGCATACTTGTTCTGTATTTTAACTTGTAATAAACAGTCTTAGGTGTAATAGGCGTCATCGAAGGAGTGTTCCAGTCTGTATCTCGTGAATCACGTTTTCCTGATTTCACCCGCTTCTAGATAGTGAATAATGCATATTCAAGCAAATGGGGAGGAAACAAGTTCGGAAGGAATTAGAAAAAGCTTGAAATAAGTTTGTCCCGAGGATGTGCGGAAATACCGTGAAATTCTTGTGCCATTCATCCGATATATCTCACGTGAATTGATTCAGCTGCTTTCAACCGAGCCATTCGCCAAGTCCCACTCGATGGGTGGAAAGGAGGAAATAAAACGGAGCAACACTTGATCGATTTTTATCATTACTCGACCCCATCGAGAGATGATGCAAGGCTTCGTTTACACGTCCCGAACACTTCGTAAGAAACGATTAAGCTCCTGCGACCTCGTGAGAAAGTCCTAAGACTTCGTCGATAATGATAACACCGGCGACGCTATCGAATCGACCTGAAATATTTTCGTTCGTTCATTGTTAACACCGTTGCTTTATATTTCCATTATAAAAGAAATTATATTTCCGAAAAGAGAGCGCGACAATTCCTTGAGAATAATGATACTCCGAAATTAATTGACATTCTCAAGATATTCTTATCATTGAATAATTCTAACGCCGTGAACAATAGTATTTTCACTTACTGAGAACAAATTGCAAGATCATGCACTAAACTATTCAGATATATACGCAGACTTGGGTAGAACTTAAAATAATTTCGTACAATTTTTCGTCGCGAAACTAGACCGGGTCTGGAATTTCTGTGAAACGGTTAGAATGACTCGAGGAACTTTTTTAACATGTGGGGCAATCATTAATCTATTCTCAAGTCTGCATTCGAATTGAAAGAAGCCACTTCGAACGATTCTTGCAATTTAATCAAACTTAGAGTAATTCCTAATCTAATTGTTCTCAACACACTAACTTTGACAGGACCTCTTCTCTGTATTTCAAAAAGAGGAAAAATTAAATAAATCACAAAAAGAAAGTAAACATATGTTGTATGAAAAATTATTTGGAAGGTTAAGTAATCCTACGTACGATACTCGAAAGGGAAGCCAAGGGTGTCGTACAAATGTGCTCCGATCTTTCTCTTCTTAGGCGGACAAAGGTGGTCAAAGATGAATAAAGGCACACAAAGGCCGGCGCAAGGCGAGAAAGAATTATTATCTCTCGGAACATGGAACAAGGCCGTTGGCATTGGAATACTGGGAAAAGTACAGGACTTTGTTGTAAATGTGTAAAAGTGACAACAAAGCGCAGCGTGGGAACGGACCGTACAAAAAGCGACTGGATAGGTGCCTAAGATAGCACGACCCCCCGCAAGGACGTTTCAAGAAAGAGTCCCCAAAGACATCCAACTTGGAGCCCTCTTAAATAAACTTTTCTTTCCTTTTCCTTGGAATCGTGAGACTCGCCGAAATTTCCCCGACAATTTCACCTTTACTTCCTTTGGCCCGAGTTTCTCGAAAATTGCAAATATACAGATTATAATAAATAATAACGGAAGTATTACACTAAAAAATTAAGCACATTCAATCGTTTTGAAACAGTACCAAGAAGGAACTTAGCGCGTTGAAGTATTTAGGCATAATATATTTTCTAACAAATGTTGCTTATTACTTTGGCCTTTTAATTATCAAGTTTCATTTTATGTATTTCTTAAACGACTTCCATATCTTCCCGATTTTTGTTGGGCCTGATTCCAAGCAGAGAAGTCGTTGATCCGTGCGGTTATCAAGAAAGTCTTTTTCTTAAACACGTTCGAGCTGTCCTACTTATGTTCCCAGAACGTGAAAAGCTGTCTTCGACGTAATCTGAATACACTTCCGGTTCCATACTGGTCAGACCGGAAATGCAACGCCCTCTGCCCTTGCGCTCCGAATACCGCATCCCAAAAGTGTTCTCTAAATAGAAAACTCAATACAAAACCCACCCGAATTTGCCCACCAAACGTGACACCTCGTGACGCTGCACAATTTGCATACGATTAATAAACTCTAAAACACTTAAAAACTCCGATACCATGCAGCCCTCTCGTACAAATGATTCCCTAGGAAACCATCTTATCCCTTGAACTCCAAATATTCCGCAGATCACGTGGTTTAAAAATATCTCTTTAATTTAATCTCTGTATTGAATTACCTTATCGTTGGTAACTTCCTGATATTTATCTGATAAGTCCCCCGCTACTGTTTGCCGACTCCACTTTGTGGTTTTCCTTCCTTTGTTAGATCCTCCTGCCGTCGATTAATTATTGTTCACAAGTTTTTCTTTATTTCTCTTGGTTTTTACGCGTTACTGATCCGCTTCGTGCACTTCGGTGCGACTGCGGATGCGAAACCAGTTAGGGAGTTGCGAGGCGAACTCGAAAAGGGCGGCTCGAACGCGTCGAGCACGCGACCGAATTGCAACTGGCCGTAAAGTCAACGCCACGCGCCGCGTCCGCCGGGGGAATGGTTTCTTTCCATGGAAGCGCCGCTTTATAGTGTCTCGGCCTTAAACCGCCGCGACCAGATCTCGCTGACTCCACGCGAGTAAAGGGGCGTTCGCGTCCAATAACAAGGGGTGTCAAGATGCGCTTTCAATGAGCAACCTACTCCCATCTGATTTCACTCTTCGCCCTTTTATTTCCGAACGATGCCAAAGCAAATCTCGAATGACTAATCCATACAGTTACAATTGTATTGTAATCATTTTATTTACATTTTTGGAGCCAGTTTAAGAAAGAAAAAGAAAAGAAAAGTAGCCAATGCGTGGCTGGGCGTCAGGAGTGAAACTTTTAAGTTAAAGGGAATGATTACGTATTATTAATCGTTCTTCAATGTATTTTAACGTATTTCAGGCATAACTTTTAAGTTACATATGTATTACCAGTATTTCACTTTAAACGTCAATAACGGTAAAACGTTACCGCAAGTTGTCTCGAGATTGAAACACAAAGGTGAATGTAAATAGTATTTAACTATAGAAAAAAGCGTTTTACCTTCCGAATCGAGCCGACTTTATACCGTGCGAAATTATATGTACTACTGTGCCGTAAGCAATTTCACTACGACATTATTTTTAATTGTTATCTAGGATAACGTTTATATGTATATTTGTGTACGTTAATGGATAAATGTATTGTATTCTTTTTCGGTTTAAGAGAGGGGCCTGTACGTTATGAACTATAGCGCGTTTGAATCTTAGCCACCTTCGCAGAAACGGGGCGAAGAAAGGGAAGCAATTCAAATTCAATAACGGAAAGGTGTCAAGATGCACCTTCGAAAGCTGCCTATTTTCCAGTTCATTTATTTTTCAATAAAGGGGCTCGAAGAAGGGAAAACGTAGGTATGCCGGATAACACGTGGATGGAGATAAGTTTTCTACTTCGTAAAACGGACAGAAAAGGTGTTTAAGTTATGGAAATAAATCGGATTACACGATCAGGTTCCAGTTTATCAATTGCATATCAATTTCATTGAGCAAACAATTACGTTAAGTAGTCGCGACATATTTCCTGATATATGGGAGAGGCGATGCGGAAACAAATGTGTATACGCAAAAATTCGCTTATTTATAGCATAAAATCATTCTAATGATCGCCATTATTACTATAACAAAAATGTGCAACGGTACATTAAATTAAATTTAGATACCGAATGAAATACAAGTAGGATCTTCGACAGCCTCTTTTGCAGTTTATGTGTTAGACTGGAAATGTCGAATTTTTTTAGCCCAGCTTTTTTTCATGTTTCAGTCATCGTCACAGACCGCTAGAGAGTCGATCAGGTTCCACATGTATTATGACAAAATGAGAATATCGAAAATTTGACAAAAGAAGAATTTTCAAGATGTACCCTTGAGGAGTAAGCTATTCATGGGTCTTGCTCATCTATTTGTCAATGTAACGGTTCAGGGAAAGCGAACAAAAAATATACGCTTTCTTGTTTATGGGAGGGACTTCCCAGAGACACACGCGTCATACATAAAGGATATGAAAATTGATATACAATATGTATTGGATATTTCCTTAAAGAAAAAGATACGTGGAAGAAATTGAATAATAGACCTTACTACTTGTACTGAAAAATCAACCGTTTTTTTTTTTATATATGCAAAAAAGCATTTACGAGAAAAGAGTCAACGATAGTTTTATGTTTTAACATTTTCCGGGAGGAAAACATTCAGGAATGGAAATTCTTAACAGAAGCTCATTGTGCGATCATATGTAGGAGGATTTAAAAAAAAATTAGGATCATGTACAGGTTTTCTCGTCCAGTATGCAAAACTAGAGACCTTGCTCTAACTGCAACTACGAAGTATAAATATACTTAACGCACTTCAATAACGATAACTACCAATAATGAAGTCGTGTAAATGCATTAATTAACACTAAAAATATGCGACGCAGGCATCTAATTAAATCAATAACGAAGGTCTACTTTTGAGCTACAATATGCAAAGGGAAAAACTGTGTAATCTGCAACAACGAAGAAAAATTGTATGAAATATACTAGTTTCGAAAGAGCAACAACTGCTGTTTGTTTTTCTGGAAAGATGTTTTATAATAGTTAAATTTAATTGAATCGCATGCACTGCATGCACCAATGTACACATTTTTCGACAATAAATACGAACTAGCAAATTAAGAACTTCAAGGCAAAGTTTCTATAGCTGATATCATAAATATAATGAGTCATAAATATTTTTACATGTTCGGGGAGACACTTCAATTACATAGTATGACAAATTCCATGAATAAATGCATATATTTGTATACATTAAAAAAACAATTTTAATGAATGATATTATGTATTCATATGCACATATCTTTGAACTGTGAAACTCATGATAACGACAGTTCTTTTGCAATAAAAGTTTTGAACTCAAAGAATACTGTTATTTATTGAAATATTGACATTTAATTAAGAAATGCACACTATAAATCGTAGAAAATATAAATTTATTCTTAGTCAGTAGTAGAAGCGAATGCAGAATAAAGAACATGAAAAAAATCAGTGTATCGCGGTAGGTGGACGTTGCGTATCATCCACAAGATCAGAGACTTGAGGACGCACTTCATAAGTAGCAATAACCACCCCCTGTTTTGGAGCAGGTGACCACTCCCCTTTTAGACCGATATAGTTGATCCGTGTTCTTTCAGCTCCAAAATTACCAGAAAAATGGAGTGTCAGATGGTGGACCGATGAGAACTTCACTACTCTGCCATTAATATGAAAATTATAGGCATTATCTATTTTAATTCATTATTGATATTGAATAAAGATATAACAAACATACTACTTTTAGTACCTATGCTTTAAATGAAATAAAATCATGATGCTGATCATTTTATATGCTGAAGTACATACGTGAAATGAAAACATAACTACTTATGGTTATTTAATATGTACTGGCATGAGTAATCAGATATGCTATAACATTTTTTACTGAAATCCTTTTTTAGAACTGAATATTTATTTATATTTTATTACATGTTAAATTCACTGACTCAAACTTATGTGCGATATTATTTTCAACAAAATAGATTCTACTCATTAATCCTACATCAACCTAAGCAATTATTGCCATGCTGTATAAAAATGTAGTATAAGTGCTTCAATTTTATGTGGTATAAACAATATCAAATTTAAGGTAAAACTAAATAAGTACTTACTTTATTGAATATTCATGAACACCAGACTCATCTCTGCACAATTCAAACTCCTGATCAGATTCTGTCAAAGCTGCATCAAAAGTCATGTGTGGCCGATTCTTAAACCTGTATTTTAAAAAATTGAACTGTATATATCGACAAAAGTACAACAAAAGTAGTAAACAGTAGAAATAGTAACTAAGCGTTGTCAATGTTTATATGATACCTTGCATTTTTTACTTGACATTATTGATTAGCTATAAGGAATTTATTCTTCAATTGACAACTTACAATCGGACTTTGCATGGATGAGAATTGTCACCTTCACCTGCGACAATTAATCCTTTTAGCTTAATAAGACCTGTAAAACTAAAAAAAAAACAGGTGTTATTTTTTTACTTTTGTAAGACTGAAAGACTTTATGTAAAAGACACACTTACGGTACATTAAACAATAATTCTTCATCGACATCACTTTCTACAAACTGTAAATAATATTACAAACATGGCCACTTATTAAAATTGCTTACATTCAACGATTCTATAAATCAGAATCTTTCGAGAATGGAATAAATAAATATACCTTGCTTCTGTCTAATCGATCTTCCCAAGGTTTGAAAACTGTGACTCCGGAACCTTCTTCGTATTCATTTAGGCATTCCAAATTTTCTGTATCTATTTTCTGATACAGGCTATACTCAACACCTAATTCTCCTTCACTATGAACAGCTCCACAACCACATTGGTGCTCCATAATTGTAATTTGCTACTCAGCCTCCAGATCAGACAATAATACATTACACAGTAATCTTCCACCTAAACGTAACAGAATTGTAATACAACACTACGTCAAAAGTATTGAAAATATTCATTATGGTTCAAAAACATTTTAACATATAGTATATGTAAAATAGGTTAACAAATAGTACTTACAGAGAAAACTACAACTTCATGTATTCTTGTTACAAATGCATCACTGCGAAGCAGGTAATGTTCTCAACTTGAGTCGATTTCTTTGGTTCCCTTCAAGGATCTACTTTGCGATATTCGGAAAGGTGCTGCCATCATGATATTTTGGACATACTTCATAAAGAGATGTCACGTCGGTAAATGTAGAACACTACACGCTAAAACACAGAGATGAGTTGGGCAAAAATCGGTGAAAGCAGTGACAGAGATGAGTTGGGAGATTGCTCACGGGCAGGATCGTACATACGTGAGCCGCCAATGGTGACTGGTAGATGGTACCGCCATCGCGAGTGCGCGAGCTCCTATCAGAAATTCGTTGCGTCGCCCTTGGAGGCAAAAAACGGTGAAAGCTAACGTACGAAACCAGAGGGCAGCACAGGATGCGATCACACGATCCTGCCCGTGAGCAATCTCCCAACTCATCTCTGTTATTATCAGAATCAGAAAAGTTCGAATTTAAAATAATATTAATTTGACATAATCGCACATGTCCAATTATTTTCAAAAATTAATTACATCAAATTAATAAAAAATACCATGAAATGTGTTGTGCCAGGTGCAAACATGAAAAGTATATCCGCCAATTTTTTTTTAGGTTAATTCGGCTTTTCCATAATTTTGTATGAAGAAGTCGATTTAAATAATGACATTCCATAAATTGCGTTTATTTGTCAATGTTATTGTAAGCAACATTTATTTTAGTATTAGCAAGAGCAATTCATGCTCTTGCAAGAATTGGAGATGAAATGTACGTGGAGCCGCAGGAAGGAGCACTGTCCATTCGATGTGTCAATACACCTAACTCGGCTTACGCTAATTTCACTTTTTGCAAGGAGTATTTCTCGTATTACAATTTGGGAGATCTCGTGGAAGATGATACTCAAAAATGTAAAATTTCTTTGCGGGTAATGTAATCTTATTTAGTGGTTATAATATTTATGGAAACTATATTCTAAACTTTGAGTTATCATGTTATAGAGTGCAATGGCTGTATTCAAATCACCGACTGTCCTGGACAAACAAGTGGAAACATGCCATATTAAATTGCAGTCAAATGCCACCCATCTGATATTCGTGTTAAAATATAGAAATAGTATTATTAAAACACATTTGCTTCCCATTATAGATTGTGAAACATTACAGGTACGATTAACTGATAAATTCCCATAAATTGATTGAATCTTATAGACGAAACAAATTTATGGTTCAATGTTCCCTTATAGGCTGCATATACTAAGGATGGTGCTCCAAATCAGTTGTTATCTCAGTCTCGAGTCTTGGCCGATGCCGTTCAAAACTTTCCACAGAATTTAGTAGAAATTACATTACAAGTGACACCCCAAAAAGTTTTGCTTAGAAATTATATTGATGATAATTCAGGTGAGCTTAAAATATAATTTACATATTAACAATAAAAAATTGATACTACAGTTTTTACCTATTTTATAGATTTATGTAATATCACTCGAACACAACTTGCACTTGCCAGAGGAGAATTTGATCATTATGTCATGAAGGAGGACACTTCCATTACTTTCTGTATGAAGGAGTTCAGAGCCCTTCTTAATTTTTCTGAGTTGGTGGGTCTGCCAGTAAGCATACACTTTGAATCTGCAGGCAGGTACGTTTAGAATTTTAAGCTATTCATATCTACTGTAGTATATATATATGGATATTTATAGTAGTGTAACACATTATTATTTATCTGTTTCAGGCCAGTTGTATTTATTATAAAAAATATTAGCTTCGAAGTGAATGTGGTTCTGTCAACTTTAAATCCAGATCTAGATACTCAGTCTGATATAACAGCTCCCTCTGTACAAGAGAAGAGTATTAGAAAAAGAGCGAGTAATAAAAAATCGACCAGAACATCTGCAAAATCTAAGCAAGGAACCAGTCAATTGAGAAAACAAAATAGTACAACCAAAAGTATTGAAACGAATATCAATAACAAAAGTAATTTAAATGTCAATAATCAACCAAACCAGGAAGAAGCAGCTGTGACAGAAGTTTTCCAACGGATCAACGTAGATGATGTGCCTTTAATAAATTTAGAGTTAAATCAAAGTAATAAGGAAGTAACCCCCAAAAATATGAATTTATATAAGAAGAGTGTTAATTTGCCTTCATCTAGTAATTCTACGCCCACTTCAAACACGAGATTCGTGAATAACAAGAAGTCTGCTCGTTCTATATTCTCAAGTGTGTCAAAAAGGAAGTCAGAATCTGAAAGTGAAAAATCAATGGACGTTCTTAGTGAAGGAGATTCCGTTTTAAATTCTCCACCGCGACAATCGACAAAACGGGCCCGAACAATTTTCAAGAAATGTTTTCAAGCCACCTTCGACCCACGAATGCTACCTGGGCATGACACGATTTTAGCCGAAGATTCGGACGAGAATGAGTGACTCTTGCGTACTTTCCTTCGCATGCATATGCCAAGTAACAAAGGTATATCATGACATGGTCATCACAATATGCGCGTTACATTCAGAGATATAACGATAGAGAGCTTCACTTAAATAAATGTTATTTACAACGCAAACGTCATTGCAAAATTCGTTTAAATGTAAATTTAGCCTCTCTCCTCGTGGGTTTGACATTTGGACGAACACGTGGCAAACATCACGTGATTTCGAGTGCGTTCCCTATTGGTTGGCGTCTTTCCGCCTAGTCGCCATTTCATCGTCTACTTGAGTTGGCCAGCGGCGGCCCAGTGCTTTGACTGTTTATGTTTTGTTTATTACGAAATTGCGGAAGTATTCTTGACATTGAAAGAAATGGTAACTGCGTTGAGAACGGCTTTAAGATTGAGTGCACTAGCAAGCGCTAGTCTAGGCGGTTATTACGCTGGGAAGCATTTCGGGCACCGAGACTCAAGCGAACGCGATGACGATATCACGAAAATTTTGTCGAACATAGCTTTCGGTATCAAGCCCGGATTGCCAATTTTTGGCACTGTATCTGCGGCTGTACCGATTGCTTCTTCAGAAATTGACATGGGTTCGAAACTTTCGACGGCAGCGTCCAGGGTGTCGCAGGTACTTTGTGCATTCTAACCTATATCTTGCTGTGCAGCATCACTTGTCCATCACATCAATCAGTAGCAGTAGTAATTAAGAATGTTTTCATTTAAAGACTGACCCTGTGAAATGAGAGCAAAACTTAATATTCTTTTAACGAAGTTGTGAACACTATTGATAATAGGTTAGTATGAGAGAATTCATTCTCGCATCGTATCGTTATCGACCAAAAAGTCACAAAATCAACGAATAGTGGGCATTATCGAATTTTGAATTTTAACAATGAAATAAAAAGTAATAAGTAAATTATATGTGACAGATCATGAAATATGGATTTCCGGGCCTTGATAACATCAGGTCGTTTGACAACTTTGTCCTATCTTATGACAGGCGAAACAGAGTGGCTCACTGGGTTTTTGAACACCTGACCAAGGAGAGGCTACAAAATAACCAGAATATAGATCGATCAAAATGTGAATTTAAACCCGATGAAAGTATACATCCATACTTTAGGTAAATTCATATTAAATTGAAATTTATTGTGGCTAATGATTTATTACAAAGGAACATTCTTAACTTTCAACAGGTCCGATAATACAGACTATAAAGGGAGTGGATACGATCGTGGGCACTTGGCCGCCGCTGGCAATCATAAAATAGATCAAAAACTTATTCAGCAGACTTTTACGTTATCTAACATGGCACCACAAGTTGGTCCTGGTTTTAATAGAAATTCTTGGAATAGGTTAGAAAAATATGTGAGAAAATTAACCAATGTTTACAAGGATGTATATGTTTGTACAGGACCCCTTTATCTTCCAAAGTAAGCATATTAATGAAAACATTTGTACTTATCATTGCTAGTAATTTTTAGACATGTGTTCACAGGTTTATTTTTTTGTTTTGTTTATTCCGAACAGAGTGGATATTGATGGAAAGAAATATGTACGTTATGAAGTCATTGGTACAAATCATGTAGCAGTACCAACACACTTTTACAAAATAGTAGTTGGAGAAACGCATGATTCACGATTGGAGATGGAAGCCTTTGTCATGCCGAATGCTCCTATTGACGATAATACGCCACTAAAAAATTTTCATGTATGTACTATTTGTGATACACGATTGATAAATGAAATAGGACCAATAGAAATTATAATGAATTATAGGTACATAGTGTACTTACGCATTAATTCTTTTTGTAACAGGTGCCACCCGAGAGTATCGAACGAGCAGCAGGTCTTTTGTTTTTTGACAAAATATCACGGGAAAGGTTGGCGAAAATAAACGGAAAGAGCGTGGGATATTTCTAATAGAGGCAATATCTAGATAACAAGAAAATAAACTTGTAGGTTTTTTTCATCTATACTGAATTTAGAGTTATCGCGTATCGCGATTCTCATCGACGACTGTGAACGCGTCTTATTTATTTTTTTTTTATGGTGCTGATTGGTTTTACAGGTTTTACTGTAATATCCACTCACACTTTCCTTCGATATTGCAGAATATACTTATCTCAAAAGTTGTGCACGTGCGACGTTTTCATACGCTCGAACACAAGCAGAACCAGATGCAATTTATATTAATTTATTGTGAAAAAATAAATATATTATTGTTGTAAGTAAACAGCAGGTTATTAACAATTGGGACTACGATCAATTTTTTACAGATTTATTGCTTTGTACACTTAACCATCGGAGATGCCTGGTAATCGTGTAAAATGTCATTATTATTTACTTTTACGATCCAATGATCTCGAAAATAGTTACGCGAATAATCATACGTGCAATATGTCAATATCTCCCTTTCGGAGAGAAGGACAATACTTGAATTTCAGTCTTGCAAAATCATACATCCTGCCCGGCACCTTGACTATGAGTTCTGCATTTCATTTGACTCGACTTCCATTACCTGCAAAACCTTACGCAATTGCATTAACTCAATTCACCAATGAAAACAGCACTATAACATCTATTAGCATTACATTTTCCGCCAATGGTAATTAGTACAAATTAAAAACAATTTGTCACTTAATATTAACAAACGCTTTGCAGTGTCTACACCGTTACGGGCATGACTACAAAACCTTTGCTAAGGCTTGAAAGAACAATTCCTTATTATTAATATCACCCATTGAAAGAAATGCTGTCCAAGGCAATTAGTAAAATTAGTTACTTGGCATCTGAAGCGAAACGGCAAGCCAATGATACCAAAGATTTTGATTTTCGTCATTACATCAGAACCGTGTATCGCTTCTGGGTACCATAATATGTTTTTTTTTCTTTTCAGCACTGTTCAACTTCTGATTTTTCATAAGCTCTCGAAACTTCGTTTAAACTTCATTTTCATTGCTCGAGTCAATCTCAGTCGGGCCCGCAGGCAAACGCGAATCCGTGAAATTCCTTTGGTCGTGACGGTAAATATTACATACCAAATAACGCGTTCGTGTTAAATACTACATCCGTATGTATAAAATCCTAGCGATAGATCTGTTAAACATCTTAATAACTTACGACCTATAAGTATATACAAAATTAACAGGACGACCGCGAGGGTTCGCGAGTCATCGCGAATTTGCAGAAGTGGAGACTCCTTTCGCGATGACTCACTCGAGCTTCCCTCGTTTACGTCGCTTAATCGTACATAGACGTGAACATTATGCTTCAGAGATCTTTCCTCTCGCCTTCTCTTGCGGGAATGTAGTTTAAAAGACATCGCAAAACGCGTATAAATATTAGCGTACATAAGTACATACGTTACGTAAAGAGTCGGTAGGCACTAAAATGGACGGGACTCGTTTCTCGGGAGTGTCGTTTGAATGCAACGATTACGATAAGGACACTTGTGACACGCTTTACATACTGTACCACGTTTAACCGTTCGAAATATTACTCGCAGAGCACGCGTTATTCATGGGACACCTATGGGAAATGTCTGGGAGAGATGTACTATTAAATTGCTGATGTGAATCTTTCTGATGTCCCAGAAACCGGCGCTGTGGGGATACTTTTCATTAAACCGAAGAATTTCCTACCTGTAAATATACTCTGATAAGTGTGACATTTGTATTAATCTATTTATGTATTCGAATCTTTTCTATGCTCTGTTAAGGTGGTGCAAAATTTTAGGCATTGCTCTTTGGGAGAATCAGGGCGCAGAGATGTCAAGTTAGATTGTTAGCGGAGAACTATGAAAATCTTTTGCAACTTGGTACGTGAAGTTTGTTCTAATGGGAATGGTATGAAATTTACGAAAATACAATTTTTTTATGGGATGGAAAATAACGTTCAATTCCTATGATGTGTGTATAACATGGCAGATAATCTTTAGGGACTTATTCTTCAAGTAAATATTTTATGTACCCGGGTTTCAAATAATTTACTTATTTTCTAATTTAAAAACATCTGTTTTTTACCTTTTAGGTGCACTGTTTTTCCTAAAGAGCGGTCAGTGCCCAATCTATTACTCCACCACAAGACGTTGATCAAAGCTTCAAACTTATCCGAGAGTCCTAATACTCCCTATTCCGTAATTCTCCGAACTTTCTAAGCCTAGAAATTTCCTAATTCACTATACCGTTAAATCGCTGCAGAGTTAACGTCGGATCTCATCATCCGCGGCAATAATGTCCATGACTTGGCAGCAATCTAATATTAATCTAAAATTCCTCTTTTTTCCTTTTCTCTTAATTTTCGTTCGTAAGAAATCCTACAAATTTCCCTTTACGACGGACAAGAGGAAACTCACGATAAATATTCGATGAGTGTTCGAAGAGCCCCACATGCTAGAGACCAATCTATCGGTACACAGTTGTTTAAAAGTATTGAACCGCACCTTAAGACAAGCTAGCGCTCTCAGAGCCCTGAAGAAGACGTCGACTCGACCCTTTCCACGATGTTTTTTAGCCGGTTAGAACATTCGAACCGCGCGACGAGGACTAGAGAGAGCGCGAAAGGACTTCTCCGCGAGATGCTGCCTCTTCTTCGGCAACCTGGATGCCTTGGAAGAATTGAGCTAGCCTTCCAGACTCTCGTTCCAAGGAGCTGCGACGGAGTAATGACTTACTCGGGGGACTAGGATCAGTTGACAACGGCGAGGACGACCACATCCCCTCCTTCTCCCGTTCAGATCAATCTTTCCTCGGGAGGAGGCTTCATCACGTTGTCCATCTCCACCCTGGGGTTGCTGAATTCCTGGGCACTAGGGCTGTACGTGCCTCGAGTGGCTCGCTTCTTTCTCGCCATCATGAAAAGAGCTATCAGAGATCCAGCTGCTATGAGGAACAAGCAGCCCACAATTGGACCAACTATCACGGCAATGTCCAGCGCAGGGCTCCCCAGGAAATGCTCAGACTGCGAAATATTAAAAAAACGAGCACGTTTTCGGTCAAATAATTGGTCAGTCATTTCATAACGCATTTAGAAGCTACACTTGAAAAGAAGGGGAAGTAAATTTTACCTCTGTACAATTCTGCCCTGTGTAGTAGGACGTACAGTGACACGTGTACCCGGTATCCTCCGAACACTCACACGTGCCTCCATTCTTGCATGAGTCCTAAAGAAATGTATCCATGTATATTAATATCGTATCACGGTAGACTTATTTTACAATGTGACTTCCTTTTGCATCTATTCATCAAAGTTTTCAACCAAATACGCTTGTAATCTCCTTTTCAAACGTGCAATAATTACCTCTCTACAAGGATCTTCGGTTTTGCAGTTGTACCCGCAGTACCCAGGTTTACAATTGCAGTGATAAGTGCCCGGCAAATTCTGACAACGTCCAAACCCACAATCCACCCCCGGATCTAAACACTCGTTCACGTCGATAGAACAATCTGACCCGGTGTATCCAGTTCTTTGGCAGTCACAGGTGAAATTATTAATCCCGTCGTAACATTTCCCATTGTTTTTGCAGGGTGCATTCCCTTCTAGATCGAGCGCACAGTCATCGATGTTCGTCTCGCAGAACAATCCTGTGTACCCTGGTAAACAGGTGCACTGTGGAGCCTGTAAATTGCACAAAAATCAATAGAGTATATAACGCAGTGTTCTTTAAGAATGAATAATAATAAGCATGATCGGCCGAAACTCGTGATCTGAAATGTTTAATTCTACCTGATAATGAAACTCGCATTTCCCCCCGTTCTGACATTTTTGTTTCAAACAGTACGGTTCGTTGCAGAGGGGACCTTCGTATCCAGGCATGCACTTGCAGGTGAAATTGTTCCCGGTCTGAAGGTTTACCACGTCGACGCAGGTGGAGCCGTTGTTGCAAGGATGGTTCTCACATGTGATCAATCGGAATTTCTCACACAAGTCCCCAGTGAACTGATCCGGACACTCGCAGCGGAAATAACCTGGTAGATTCTCGCAAACGCCGTCGTGCTGACAAGGAGTTGACATAACGCACTCATTGATATCCTCGTCGCACCTGAACATAACAAACAAACACTTAGTGAGTAGTTCCGAGTAGGGATCACGTCAACCGAGTTGAAATGATCTTTCAGAAAATAAGCTTCCTCAATTCTAGAGAAGTATTCATTTAAAGGATGTTTATAAGAGCCAGTCATTTCTTCTTACAGCCATCCTTGCCATCCGTAAGGGCACGCGCAGGTGTAGTTAGCGATTCCGTCGATGCACAAGGCTCCATTCTGGCATTTATTATCAACGCATTCGTCAATGTCGACGGAACAATCGTCTTCGGCGTATCCAGCAGAGCACTGGCACACGTAGCTGGTATTCTTATCCATACAGAAACCCTCGTTTTTGCAGTCCTCGTCGAAGCACAGTCGGCAACCAATGTTATCATATTCGGTGAAGTTGTTCCTCAGCTCCATAAACTCCATGGGAGTAAAATTCGCGTTTTGGTACACTTCGTTATATGAGAAATAATGCAGCAGCATGCAGCCGATTCGCACTTCACCTAAACATCCTTTGAAGGGTTCACCTATAAAAAAAAAAAAAAACGGTAGAGACGAATTTTAATTAATGTAATAGGTATTTCATTAAGACTATAGACTTCCAATAAAATTGAATTACAAAATTTACTTAGATCACCGAGTTTTTACCAGAAATCATGCTGCGTGGAGGCAAGGCAGTCGTCAGGGTCCTATCCAAAAAGTCCACTGAATTTCCGTCGATACCATTTCTGGGATCGTGAATGCGTCTATTAGCTTCCAGAGTCACGTAACTATGCCTCTCCGACAAAACTCCTCCAAGGCCTCCCAAAGTCACCGTTCCGGAAAGCAAAAGATTGTACCACAAGGGGAAGCTGAAATTCGGACTCGAGCTTGGCAAGGTTTCCTCGTTGGAATTTTCATAACTGCATTCCATGGAGTCGTTGTTCAGTCTAATGGCGATGTTGGTCCAGTTGCCATCCGGTTCGGGCTTGCCGAAGGTCAGGGTTCCATAAGTCTGACGATTGAGTTTCCACGAGACGGTCACTACGTCTTTGTAAACGGACACTGTAAAGTGTTGGTCCTTGTCTAGGGATGCCATGTGCATCAGAGTGCCGCCAGTGTTCGAACGGTACGAGATGTGAATGGTATCGATGTTGGTGTCGGTCACATTTTTCTCGTCCACTTGATAATACTTGTAGATGAAGGAGGTGCCAATTCCATCGAAGGTCGCGTTGGCAACGCACTCGTATCCGTCATCGAGGTTTTGACATTTGGAGCCGGCCGGGCAGTCCTGCAGCTGACAGAATTCCATCTCCTGGCACATTTTCCCGGTGTATCCTCTGGGACACTGGCACCAATAGTCGTTCCACGTTACGTGGCACGTACCGTTGTGCTCGCAAGGACTGCTCACGCAGACATCATCCGAAACGACCCCAGGGAGGACTTTGTCGTGATCGAAGGAGACTGTCCCGAACTCCAGCGGTTTGATGTCTCTAGCCAATAAGGGGAAAAATTCGACGACCATGGTTTCGTTACCGTTCGAGATCTGAACGTCCTGTATGATGCCTTTGAAATTAACCTGCGGCATCGCTTGAACCTCCATTTGTCTACTATCGATCTGACGGATGTACCGCGATGCCTGGGGCATACCTCCAAGGTACAGCACTGTTACGTTTAACTGACCGGTGGTGCTCAATGTCTTTCTGAAGTACTCCGTACCGTTGATCTTTACCTGTGGTAAACATTATTTCATTATCTTTGAGAATAACTTTGTGATCGTTAAAAGAGATGTAAATATAAAATGCAGGTCCAATTTTCAACTCGGATCTAGAGATCGGTGATCACGTGCTCACCTGTACCAGGGTCACGTTCCTAACCACCTGAATCAGGTGACTGTTCCCGTCGTTCAGCTTAACACCGCCGACTGTATAGGCTTCCGTGCTGTTAAACTGAAGTCTCAACAGGAGTTCACCGCCTTCTAGTTGTGCGGCAATGTACGTTCTGTCTTGTGGCTTGCCATCGAGCTGTGGACTCGGATCCGAACCGAGGTAGAAGATATCGCCGCGGTCTTCTCGAGTGCGAATGAACATCGAGATGTCCACTATGGACCTGATAGCGCGTCTCGCCATGTCAGATACCCTGATGGTCACGTATCCGTTTGTTATGTTCTCGTAGCCAAAAGTCGCCGCTGTCATGTTATACTGGCACGTGTATCCGAGGAAAGGACGTTCACACTCGCAGGAAAAGTCGCTCCACTTGTCCGTACAGTGTCCTCCGTTTTTACAAGGATTGGGAGAACACTGTTCCTCGCGAGGACATCCAGTCTCCACGTTTTCCATCAGCACCGTCCTCGAGGTGGTTCCGGAATACACCTAATGACACGATGCCAATACAGTAACGAATAAAGTAATTTTTGTTCTCATTTTTTTCACTTTGCCAGAATCATGTCAGGCGTTAACCTACTTATTTTTCACATGTGTGTCTTTCGGCTGCTGTAAGTCCATTCCAATATATATTTTTGATTTGAAACATTCCGAGTGACTGTATAAATGTTACTAAATATATTGTAAAAATTCCAAGATGGGGTATTTTCATGATTCGTTAGAAAAAAATTCACGAAAAAAGGGAAAAGGTACAGCCGTCACACGGTACGAGTGCCTTAATGTTACACTAAAATACAATAGAAGTACGGGGATTTATGTTCAAATAATTACCCATTCGCCATTGATTACGACGTCCTCGGTGCAACCGACGAAAAAACGAGGCCCGTGAATCAGTTTACGTAGATTGGTCATCGTGCCGCCGACGAAGGAGGTCGGGAATGACGTAAAGGTACTGTTGGATCCCTCGGTTAAATTGATCGGATAGATGGTTTGCTCCTCATTAGCCGAGAGCACCACGTGGGTGGCATTGATCGCAACGAAAACTTTCTGCCAATGAGAGTCGTTTAAACCACCCCCGATGAAAACGCCTTCCCACTTATTAAGGAGACTGGAGCGCAAATTAAGCCTCCCGTTCACTAGCTCGAGAATGTAAAACGTTGATCCCTTTCCCATGGCCAGCAAACCGCTCGGAAGGGTTGTACGGAATCGGAATTGGATGTCGTATCCCTCGTCTCTGGTCGTGTTCACCATGATGTACGAGTTGATGCCACTGAGAGACATGGTAGTTACCTGGAAATTATTTTCCATTATGAACGCTGCCGAGACTGGCTGCTTCCCATACGGCACAGAACAATATTTCGGTAAAGCTTCCTAAGTCTATCCGCAACAGGATCCAATACAATATCAATCAGTAACCCGTTACCACATTTGTCCAGAAACCCACAAAAAATATCGTCGTAAGAAACCCATGAAAAGGAATGTTTATAATGTTCCAACCAATTCCATTGGATCTCATTGCTCGTATATTTTCAAATATCATTCCTTGTTGTAAAGGGGGTAAACATACGTACCACTGAGATCTCTAAGTTCTGTGCCATAGGGATCAGTAAAGTCGTACCCACCTTCAGCACTTTCTAGTAAAGAGGTGTAGATAAGAGGAAAAGAAGAGAAGCGTGAGTAGAGAGGCGTGTAACGGATAGAAAATATTGCTTCTAGATATACGAATGCTTGGATGCTTACATGGTCGCAAACCTCCCCGTGATATCCGTTTGGACAAGTGCAGTTGAATTTGTGCTCCGTCTCGTCGACGAGATAGGGCCAACAGATGCCGCCATTCTGACAGGCATTACCTTGACAGCCCGTCAAAGCGACGGAACAGTTTTTCCCTCCGTACCCCGGATCGCAATTACAGAAGTAATCAGCCCTCCCGTCGGTACAGTCGCCATGCTTGCACGGAGAATATCTCTTGCACTCGTCGATTTCATGCTGACAGAGATCACCCTCGTATCCCTCGTCGCACTCGCACGTGTAGCCGCCGATTCTGTCCATGCACGTGCCAGCCTGACAGGGATTGCTCTCACACTCGTTTACATTCACTTCGCAGTTTTTCCCAGTCACTCCTTGAACGCAGAGGCACTCGTACCTTCAAACAGAAATATTACAAATGACATCGTTGGTCGAATCAAAGGAACCCGAAGATCCAATGAAACAGAAAAATGACTAGTCTCCAATTACCGAAGTACCCGGTACTTGTAGATTCGCACTCATACCTCACAATTAACATTGGAAGACGTCTTATATTTGTAAGTTTTAAACGGCCATCAGACGTCTTTTACCCCTAAAAGTGAGGTACGAGAATGGACCATAAATATCGCATCAGGAACATTTATGTACACAAGGCGGATTTCGAGTCTACATTCTTCTCAAACAATCTGATAGTCAACTTGAAAAAATATACCGATTTCCAATTATTGAAGTTAGGTTGGAATTAGTTCCTACTACATTTTTAAAAAGACGTATTTCATCCGAATGAACAATCTTTAGGTAGATTCTACCGCACCTCTGGGCATTATTATCAGGAATTATTTCCACTGACGGTACTGTTTAAATATAAGAAGTAACAAACCCGCTGGCATTGGCGTAACTGAATTCCTGCGTAAATATGGCCGGCAAGTTGAGAGCGTCGCTCTTGTAGAGCTCTATATTAGACCTCTCGAGGCAGGTTCCATTAAACTGACAGGGCGAGCTCTCGCACTCGTTCACGTCAATGTCACAATTGCGCCCAGTATAGCCGGGGTAGCATTGACACTTATAATTCTTGACGTCGTCGACACAATTCGCCCCGTTCACGCAGGGATTCGGGATGCAGTCGTCGATATTGATCTCACAGCGGAAGCCCTCGAAGCCGGTGTCGGTGCAGTTGCAGGCATAGTCGTTGATGCCGTCAGTGCATTTGCCGTAGTTCAGGCAAGGCCCGGACTCGCAGTCGTCGATATTGGTCTCGCAGTTGTACCCGGTGAAACCTAGAGAACACACGCAGGTGTAGGCGGCGACCTCGTCGACGCAGGTTGCCCCGTTCAGGCAGGGATCGCTTTGACATTCGTCTATGTCCACGTCGCAAGTCTTCCCGGAATATCCGGGCGGGCAACGACACTCGTAGGTGTTGATCTTGTCGATGCACGTCGCATTGTTCTTGCAAGGTCCGCAGAGGCACTCGTCGATGTCGATGTCGCAGTGGTCCCCGGAAAATCCTGGACGGCAGAAGCAGTCGTAGCTGCCCTCGGTGTTGATGCAAATACCGTTGATGCAGAGCGCGTTGCCCATGATCTTACACTCGTTTACGTCTTTGTCACAGGCTGGGCCTGGAAGCGAACGAAATAAGAATTCCTGAGAACACGTTGACTTGCGTGGGAATATATTAAATACATGTACACTGAGTGAAAAAAAAAAAACCCTTTTTATAAAAAGAGAAATCCTTAGGTCGAATAGACATGACTACTTCTGTTATTATCTTCGAAGATTGACTCCCCTCACCTTTAAATCCTTCCTTGCAATCGCATCTGAAGCCATCCCCAAGATCAACGCAGGTTCCATTATTACAGGGCTTGCTGGCGCAGTGATCAACGATCAGCGTGCAATTTGGGCCCCTGTAACCTTCTTGGCACTTGCACTCGTAGCCATCTACTTGGTCGACGCATATCCTGTCTTCAGGGCAGATGACATCCAGGCAGTCGTCCGTGTTAACGTCGCAGAATTTTCCTTCGAAGCCTACGGGGCACTTGCAGACGAACTCTCGCCTGGATCTAGGAGCGAGGATGCAGCTGCCATTATTCATGCAGGGGTTAACCGCACAAGCGTCGAACTCCCTTTCGCAATTATCTCCCATATAATCCCTGGTACAGTTGCAGCTGTATCCGTTGACCCTATCGATGCAGGTGCCTCCATTCAGGCAGGGCTGAGAGATGCACTCATCCGCATTGATTTGGCAGTTCTTCCCTGTTTGGAAAACAGAATGATTAACATATAGCTGTGCCGAACCTTCTCCAGATTAAGACGCATACTTCCATTTTACCGTATATTTTCCTGGAACGGTTGGAAATGAATTAGGAAGCACGTTTTTAATTACAAACTTACTGTCCGACCGGGCAGATAAATGACGCTAGAGATAGTGTCGTCATCGTTTAAGTTAAGGCACGCAAAGATTAGCGACGTTTCTTATGATTAGACTTTGAAGATTAAATTAGAAGATGAAAATGTAATCCGAGGAAAGACAGTCGAAATTCGGGAAGTGGAGATGAGTCGAAGAGAATGATGGTAGGCGTCACATATACGAAAGCAGGATTAAAAGCGACAAATCACGGAAGCCGAGGGAATGAAAAAGCTCGACATTTTACCGGTGAATCCTGCAGGGCACTGACAATAATATCCGTTCAGCTGATCGATGCAAATTCCGCCGTTCCGGCAAGGATCACTCGAGCACTCGTCAACGTCGATGGAGCATTCGAGTCCTGTCCATCCAGGCTCGCAATCGCAGAAATATCCGCCAGGCTAATCGGGAAGTAAATAAAACACTTGCACGTGGCGGAACAGAAGCGACGATAAAACCATGTACATACATCCATGTACTGCTTAAGCGAGTCTAAGTGTCACTTTTTACCGTATGAATTCAACATCCCAGTTCCTCACCATTATTCAAGGTTAATCCAACGAATTGTCCGATACATCGATAACTACATATTTATAGCAAAGAGTCTCGTTAATAAGAGGAATCTATAAATTTGGAGATAAGCTAAGACCTCTTCGTAGATTAAAAAGCAAACATTGCGGCGAATTCAAAGATGATTTCTTCGGTCAAAAGATCACACGTCTCCTTCGGATATGTATTCATCGAGTTTATTTTTCAGTTCGTTGTATTAACGGTAAAACATAGGAAGGAATGTTGGTGAATCGATACGGCAAAAAGTGATTATTACATTTCGAATCTTTAAGGGCCGGCCAATTACTCACGTAATCGTGGCAGGTTGAAGGCTGTTTACAGGGACCTTCCCTGCAGGTTAGTGGATCCTTGCATTGGGGACCTGTCCAGAACCTGGGGCACTTACACTTTACGCCGTAGATGGTTTCGATGCAAGTACCTCCGTTGAAACACGTCGTGCACCAGTCAGAAGCAAGAGAGGAGCACGTCGGCCCTGGCGAGGATCAACCGGGTACGGGAAAGCAAAGCAGAACAAACACAAGAAATATGAGATAGCTGCTACACGATGACGTACATGGCGAGATGACGAGATGGCAAACAAACGGAGATATGAATGGCACACTAAAAACATTTAAAGCGCCAAAGCGACATCGAACACAATCTTCGAGAGTTTCTCCCAAATGATCGGTTACCTGGCCTCGTGATACAATTAAATCCTTGCAAACAATATAATCTTGCACGTCTCTCTTAATAAAAAAAAACATTTCAGATAATAATCCCGCGACAACATAAATGTACACGAAGAAAAAATGTGTTCGGAGTTAATTAGTAATAGTTGAATGGAGTTAAATAAACCGTAGCATAAATTCAAAGAAATATAGCCTTCGCCATAAAATTGCCGAATGTTTAACTCTGATGCCTTGCATCGACCGAATACTTCATATCTTAAAATAATAAATCATTTTCTTTTAATCAAAGAAATTCTTATTCTCAGTGTAGATGTCGACATTAAGAGGGAAGAGTCTTTCCCAGTAGTACCTGTCTATACTTCTTGATATCCAAAGCGGCGTTCGGACATATCGATAAACAAGAAAAAAGCTATATCTTCCGAAAAATCCTGCTCAAAGCTTTCATTAGTCCTTCGGCCTTTGAGGCGTGTCCGCATTAGGCTACCCGGCGAGTGTGAAAGCTAAATTATTCCCGGCGCCCCTAAGTCGAGGGGTGCAATCGACGAGGTCGTCGAGAGCTCCGAAATCCACTCTCGATCGTTCCCGCGTGAAATCCATTTAGCGTCGCCGGGGCAATCGGGCCCAGGTTTACCTTTCCACTCCGGCGGGCAGGTGCAGTTGTAGCCGTCCTTTCCGCTGGTGCAGCTGCCGCCGTTGGTGCAGGGATTGCTGGCGCAGTAGTTGATGGTGCAATTCGGAGGATTGCCCATGAATCCGGGCTTGCAGACACACTGGGGCCCGTGGGCGTCCTCAACGCAAATGCTGTTGGACGGACAGGCGGCGTGCTCGCAGAGGTTCCTTGACTCGCAGTGGAACCCGCCGAACCCTGACGGGCAGAGGCAGTGATAAGAGCCGACATCGTCCACGCAGGTTCCACCGTGGACGCAGGGACTCGAGAGGCACTCGTTCAGGTTCAGCTCGCAATTCTGGCCGTCGAAGCCCTTCGGACAGCGACATATGTAGCCTCCATAGTTGTCGAAGCACTCCCCGTTGTTCAGGCAGGGGTTGTCCAGGCACTCGTCGATGTTCATGTCGCAGTTCACCCCTCGATAGCTGGGGAAATGAGAAACAGAGGTCTGTGAGAAGTGGAGCCCCTACGATAACGGCGCGATAACAGGGGAGCGCTCGAATTTCGCGACGGATAGACCTACGTTAATTATTCCCGCAAAGAGTCTCATCTATAAGTCAGGAGGGACGCAACCTCGAGAGCTGGCCGAGCAGCAGGGGGAATTCCTAAACACGTCCAGGAGTTCGTAAATTATCATAGATGGGCACGCGGAAGTAATTCATGATTTTCTGGCCCCGCTGACGAGAAAGCCAACGTTAATGGCGTATCCTACTCGTGAGTGAATTTCACGTTTCCCAAAAAAGGAGCTTTTAGATCCGGAGCTAAATATAAGATTCGCTGAGAGTGCAGCCGATTCAGCAGTCCTCCGTACCCAGTCCTTTGCGCATCTGCAAGTATAATTGTTAATGCCGGCGGTGTACATTCGCACGTGTAACCTCTAGCTTTTCCAGGGACTTCGTTCCCATCCTGTGGATAGACTCTTCGCGTATCCAGGTTGGCAAATGCAGATGCAGCCGTTCTAGGTTGACGATAACGACACCGCGGAGGTTCTTCGATGACCTATGCTAATCGGTACCTCAGCAAACCATCGTTAAGACATCGGAGAAACCTCAATTTTCAAATACGTATACGAGCCTATAAATCTACGAGACGTATTTCACGAGCTTCAAACATCTTTTTTAAAATCGTCGTAGACAAAACCGCAGTCATCAATTATTCCTTCACGAGTTGGTTAAAAATGAATAAGGAAAGCCTGTAGATTTGGGGTAAAATGTACAAAATATTAGATTCGCTAAGGGGGGGCCGATTTCGCAGCCCCCCCTAACCGTTCCTATCGCATCTGCAAGTGTAATCATTAATGCCGGCGATGAACATTCGCCCTATAACTTTTAGCTTTTCCAGGGACTTTGCTCCCGTCCTATGGATAGACTCTTTGTGTATCCAGATTGCCCAATGCAGATGCAGCTGTTGTAGGAGTCATTGGCAATAACGATATCGCGGAAGTTCTTTCATAACCTATGCTAATTGGTGCCTCGATGAACCGTTCTTAAGACATCGGAGAAACGTCAATTGTCAAATACGTCTACGAGTCAATAAATCCACTAGATGTAATTTATGAGTTTTAGACATCCTCGAGGATATCCTCCTAAAATCGACGTAGACAAAACCGCCGTCGTTAGTTATTCATTAACGAGAGGGGTTACAGGTAATAGTAATAATAATAATAATAAAGTTATAGTTAAAGTTAAAAGTAATAGTAATATTAAAAGTAATAGTAATAATTGAGAATATTGGAATCGTTAACAATAAGGGGACAGTCGATTCCGCAGTCCTCCCTACCCGGTTCTGTCGCATCTGCAAGTGTAATTGTTGATCCCGTCGATGCAGAGGCCGCCATTCCTGCAGGGGCTCGAGGAGCACTCGTTCACGTTGACCTCGCAATTCTTCCCCGTCCAACCAAGAGCACAGTCACACCTGTAGTCGCTTTCGGACAGGGCGGTGCACACCCCCTCGTTTTTACAGGGGTTTTGCTCGCAAAGACGAGCACCGATCTGCGACTCGCACCGACTCCCCGTGAACCCAGGTTGGCAGATACAGGTGTAGTCACCCCGCGAGTCCTCCGAGCAGGTCCCGCCATTCTTGCAGGGGCTGCTGTTACAGGGTGGACCTGCAAAGACGTCAACATGCTTTAATACACGACACCGCGAGGTCAGGGGAAATTAAATAAATAAATCAAGCGAAGAAGCATTGCGAGTGCAGTAATCGCGCATGCACCATCACCGGAGATATACCCTCGTCGCTGAAGTTGATCGCTAAAGAAAGTTGCACTATTATTAAATTAAAGCCCAAGATGAACCAAGTGGATTGCCAGCTTGCCTGGAGTCGACAGGCTGGGAATTAGTCTAATGGGATTAATAAAATTCGACTGAGCTCGAAACCAAGATTAATCTGATACTGTCCCTCTAAAACGAGGAGTTTTGTTACTGTGTTAGTTGATGGAACACTATTGGATAATGCATCCTCCTTACGTTCACATGCAGTGATAAAAGTACCCATTCCTAAGAAAACGCATCAGCTGATAAATCAAATTTCATTCATTTTTATGTATCACAACAAACGGAATATCGAGAATAACAACACCGCTACCACGAGCCAGCCCAATAATTATAAATTGATCTGGAGAGATCTCAAAATGAGCGTTTTATTTAAGAGAAAATATGCACACCCCCTCTTCTCACTCAAGTCCATTCCAATAACGAAAATGAAACACTGTAAAGCGAGAAGAACGTGAAACGTGCCCTTTTTAACAGCCTCCATGATAAAACCATGCGTGAGATGCAAAACAGGGCGAGAGAAATGAAGCTACGGTGTAGACGTTAATAAGCAACATTTTGAGAGATACAGACGAATAGGGTAATGAATAAAAGATTCCCAGAGAATGGAGGCAGGAAGCCCTTCCGCTACAAGAGGAAAAGATAGACCACCCCGAGAAAAAGAGGCGAATGATCGTTCAAAGTGGTCTACCATCGTCGACCTCGCAGTTGTTGCCGGAATATCGGGCGTAACAGTGGCACTCGTATCTGCCCTGTCTCGACACACACTTCCCATGCATCATGCATGGTTCATGATTACAGTGGTCCATGGAGACTGCGGTTACGGCAGCCAAGCCGCCCCCGATGCTGTTGGGGCCACCTGAAATTTTCAGACAAATCCATGCAGTCCGCTAAGGGCGCTAATCCCGCGCCCGGCTCTTGGAAAATCGCCCCTCGCGGCGAGGCAAGGCGCTTCGACGGGGAACGTAAGAAGTCGTACTGGGAAATTAACCGACTAGGCGAGAAGATTAATTAATAAGCTTGGGAGACGTTCGGTAGCGGATTTGAATCTCTGATTAATCATTCGATTAAAATGAATAATGAAAAGATGGGAAAAAAAGGAAAGAAAGCCTCGTGACAAGGCTGCGGGAAATAATAACCGGACGTTGCGAGAGCTCGGTTTCCTGGCTCTTGGTTCTACAGATTGCACAGAGGATAGAGCTAATTTCAATGGAGGGGATACGGTACCGCTAATGATCTAGAAATGTCATTTCCTAGAGTCGCGGTTAAACGATGCGTGAAAATCGATGGAAGAGGAGCGTCAAATAAATTTTCTTTTTTTTTTTCCCGGAGTAAGGGTTCCACATATCTAAGAAGAGTCCTTGTTGATATTACAAGAACATTAATTTCGACGTGGTGTTCCCATAAACCACGATTTCACATTAAAAACTAAGTAAACTAATAAGAATAATCATGGTATATTTATACATTTTTACGTAACATTAATTCCTTTTCACCAATTTTATATAGTTCTATCCTCTGCGTAACTGAGGGCTGCGTAAAATTGTTGAACATATCGACATCTTCGAAACAATTTTCAAGAAAAATCAGCTTTCGCTTGGTCGGTCCCGCGCTTGATTAATGCCTGCTCGGTAATTGTCTCCGACTTTCCGGCGTCTACCGGGAAATCGCGACCTACGGTAATTCTGAATTGTAGGTAATTATTAGACGGAATTGCGGAAGCCTTACATCCTCTGGAGTCCCCAGGGCAGGATCCGAAAATGGCCCCGAAGTTGACGGAGTCGTTGAAGAGGATCCCCGGCCCCTGGAGGATGCACCCCTTGAAGCCCTCTCCGACGACTAGGGATCCGTTCACCTCGTAATCCGGCAGCAGGAGAATGGCCGAATTGTAGGTGGAGTTGGCGATCACCTGGGAACACGGGAAACGGTCACCGAACCAGTTCGGAGGAAGAACCCGATGAAGATCCTTTTTTTAACCGTGCAACCAGTTCCTCCGAGCACAATTACGTTACGTTCGCCGTTGGCTTACGCATCGCCGATATGCGGAACGCAATGGAAATGTTACACCCAACTCTGGATGCACCGCGAAATATCCACAATTGAGCGTGTACACCTTACGCCATAACTACTTATAAATTCCATTCCTACATCGATATATCTCGACCGCGTAGATAAACAGCGCATTATCATAGATTTAAAACACAGCTGACATATTAATTGCATAAAACGCCCACATATGATCATTCGCATAATTTTCATACGATTTTTAAAAATACACCGAGAGCATAAAATAAATATCACATTACGCGGACGGAAGGTACGGAATTCTGAATCCGATCCACGTTCGTAGCAGTGCTATATTATCTATGCAACGTATCGGTGTCGTGCATCGAATGCATTCAATCTGCAATGTATATTCTAAGCGTCTCTCCAAAACCGAATTTACTCCTTTCTTATGGGGAAAAAAAATGTTAAGTCTATTAAATTTCTACACACTCCATAACCTAAATCAACCTACCAAATAAATTTCAACAACAAAACAAAAATCCAAAAAAAGAATGCAAATTTGGGGCTCGGTAACGGATGTTTACACAAATTGCGTGTTTTCAGCACGCTTATGACATTGCCTGATACCTGCAGCTGAGGGAAGGGAGCTCGAGGACAATTGTGACATTTGTAATGTACTCAAAGATACAACTATGTCCCGATATTATTTTTCTTAAATATTATGAGGCAAAGTTAAAAAAAAAAGGAATATTCCTCCAAGAAATGTTATAATAGTACCGGATTTTTCTTACACCGAGAAAAAAGATCAGTCGACTGAAACAAGTATGTAGTGTTGACATATGACATGGTGGTCTGAATCGTATATAATTGAGAAGAAAAAAAAAAATTATTTCCTTGAGAAGAAAAATTGACGTTGATTTAAAGGAATTTTGCATACTTGATCTGACATTTCTTTGGACGCATTTGATCTCAGGAGTTTGTTGTCGCAATGCATATTTCTTTCAGTCGACTTATACTTTTCTCAGTGTACCTTGGTGGCCAAATATCTCACCTGGGTGTGTCCAGCAGCACCGAGGGTGAGATTTCCGAGCCTGTACTGGAGGTTGACGTTATGCCAGGCATCGTCGAGGAACCGGCCATTGAGTTTGACCTCGTATCGCTGTTGCTCGACCACGGCCAAGAAGAGCAGGCCTTCCGGGGTGACTTCGAGGCTTATCCAGTCCTCGTCGAACTTCTGCAGGAAGAGTCGGCCCCCGTCGCAGGTGCGGAAGCTGAGGCCGGTGTGCTGGTGCACCGAGACCGTCGACGAAAGCCTCAGGAAGGCCGAGCCGTTGAAGTAGGCCTCTCGAGGAGCCTCCCTGTACTCGAGGGTGCTCGTCACCTGGCCCGACTCGTGGCTGGCCGTCGACAGGGCGAACAGAACTAGGACACATAGTTTCAAATTAGTCTTTGCACTTAGTCTTTCAAAAGGAAAGGGTGTGGGCGAACTCGGCGGAAGGTGATATCCTTTTTGAAGTTTGAAGTCAAAGGATGGGCAATTTGGAATGAAGAAAAGTACTCGTGTCGATAATTTTTAGACGTCCACGTGATTTCGAGCATCAACATCAACAATTTCCCAAGCGAATAGCCCCTCGATTTGGATAATACGAGAATTTCAGATAGGAAGATGCTAATTAAATCGATCTCATTTAAATCTCGAGTGTACGCTTATGTCCGCCTTTATAGCCTCTATTTTGGTTCAATGCTTTATTGAGATTTATTCTCAAGATCCTTTCCTTTACTCCTGATTCTAGGATCATAATTTGTTATAATATAGTAAACTAAAGTGTGATAGAATGTACATGTTTTATATTATACTTTTTATCAAAAGCAATAATGCAATGCACTGGTAATTTTAACATACTTTGCACCTAGTTTTATTCCATCTTCTTTCAATGACTAGTAGTTTTTAACATTTTTAGGGCTAATTAATACAATGTGGAATAACCCTTCTATTTTCGGAGGTTTCTCAAGCTTCAATTCAATCGAACCCTTTCCGAGGACTCGGAGGTTGTAACGAGGAAAATGAACTCTGAGATTCTTAGCGAATGAAATGAAACTCCAGTGGGCAGACTCAATGAATCAATATTAAATTGAATAAATGGGAGGAGATATTAAAATCCAGGAATTCACTTATTACGTTCTTGCGATGAAAGGGAAATGTTTGACTTGGCAGGTTGTCGCGTATTTGGAGAGTAAATGTTAGGACAGGGTACATTCGTATCGATAGTAAAAAAAAAATGATAAGAACAAAAGGAACAAAACAAGGAACCTAAAGAAATTGTCAAACCCAAGTTCGCTAATTCACCGGCTCGGAAAAATACCTTGGGGTTTACAAGTGGCGACCTTTGTTGCCCGGACTCGATAAGATTGCGAAATCGATTAACGATAAGGCTTTAACTGCATTCCGACTCGGGTTTATCACAGAACCTACAGCGTTAACTTGTCGAGCCGACTTTTTGACGGATGAGTCAGAAATAGGGCATGCGTGGTCCCTTAGTTTCGGGCCGTTGGAGTAAAAACCGATACCAGGACAAAGTAATCGATCGCCGGAGCAAACGTTTAGAGAACTGGGCCAAGGAAAATCGATATCTGGCCGTCTCTCTCTTCCCGACGATTATCGGCGCGAAGAGAGCCCGAGATTTATCAAGATCCACGTCAAGCCCGATCGATCGATGCCTGATAGGCCGATCGAGATTGTACCGACGAATTGAGTAAATCCTATGAATAAGCCGCAGTCCAATGTGTATTACGCGTACCAGTGATAGTGGCACCTTATCTCTCGGTTATTCAACGAATGGATATGGCATAAATAAAATCGAGCATTTAAGGAGTTATTCCTTTGTTTTCGGTCGAGTGAAGTCGATTTTTCCTTTCTAACTTATTACTTATCCACGATTTATTTAAAATAATTACGTAGAGGAATTTTTGAAAAAATTGAGAAAATTCGAAGATGAGAGCGCCCATCCTCAGAATACATATACACGTAGATCAATTGATTTCTATTTTGGCTCGTTCGATTAATAAATAAATCCTTTACTGAGTTTATCTCAATGAAATTAATCGACGAATAAATTTTTTTGCTACACTTTATTTGCTTTTTTTTTTTTCTATGAGAAAAAAAATCCCCATAAAATGCCCAGTTTTAGAGTTCTTGAAGACCAAATACCCTTTTCATAGCGGTCAAAAAATAATCCAAAAAATGATCGTAAGCTCAATATTAATTGAGATACTTAAAAGTACTTTTTTATTTTGCATTATCACCCTGTAACGCGGAATATGCTGCAGGGTTTATATACAAGATATATATTATCGGTTTACGACAGTCACCTTTTTTTGGGCCGCCTCCTCTTCAGAAATTTCGCGAAAATCCGGCGCGAGTGCACGCAGGCAAACGAGCGGGCACGCACACGCGCACGCGTGTCGATTGGAGCCTTGGCAATAAATAATGCATGAATCGTTTCTGCAGGACCGTGTAAGGCTGCGGCCGCAAATGGCCGTCGACTCGTGGAAGGGCCGCGCGTAACCCGGAAAGAGAGAAGTGCAGAAAAGCGGCTAAAGATCGGCACCGTTCGGTCGTTAAAAGCCAAACTCGAAAGTGCTCTTCCCACCGGCGCAAAGATGGCCAACAGAGTCTACTCGGATTGCTCGGCGTGAAACTATGCGTCACTTTTGTTATAAAACTGACAGATGTAGCCTTTATGATTTCTACACACGAAGAGGTCACGTTCGGACCGATTAGAAAATGTGAAACTGAAATGAGCCAGGTGGAAAAACATACGGACGAAGACTTATACATTAATATAGGTCGTTCCGAATGTGATATCCTATATAAACATAATGATACCTGTAGGTATTTCAATAAACACATTTAAAAGTCGGGGTACAAAAGCTTAATATCGGGAGCCATATAAGGTAGACGTACACGTAAACATAAATAAACCTTAAATTGAATGGCATGAGGTACTTCATGCATTCCACTCGGGGGGCTCTTTCTCGTTACATGTTTATTTTTTTTTCTTTTCTTATGAAATTTTATAAGCGACCCACGCGTCAATAAAATCCATCAAAGAGGGAATGTTTAAAGGAGTCGACGATGGAAAAGAGAAGGTCCACGTGTATAAATAAGTATCTAGGAGCGAGGAGAGGTCGCTGAGAGGAAGAGAAAAGTAGGCACGTACATAAATGATTTATAAGTTACACGGTGATGTAACGAGTATTACGCCACCGGGAGCGGATAATAATAAAGAAGAAAAAAGAAATACAACGCGTGGAGACTGTCCGGTCGAAGAGATGGCAGAGATTCGAACGAGTGATCAAGAGTCGGTGGGAAAAGATGAGCGATAACCATCGTGAAAACTTACTCAAATTTGAACATCGACTTCGAGCCGACACAAGAAGCACTTTGTCGCCCATAGACGCGTTAAAAGTTACGACATCGAGTCTCACGCGGTGAAGGAACGTTACCACAATTAGGTGCATTCAATCTCAATGAAGAATTGTCAACTCTCTAAATTAAATTTTTTCTACGGTTCTTGTTAAAAAAAATAATAATACAAAAAAATTAAGAAAGTTGTGAAGTTTGACATTGAGCGGATACATGAGATACTTTGTTGCACACGGAAGGGCCGTCAAGAATTTCAACATTTCCATATTGTAAAGAACCATCACCGTAACAGGTGTATTTAATTCCAATGCAGAATTTAATTTCTTTATATATTGTTCTTTATTTTCCCAATGATTCAATTTTCTACTATTTATGTGATTACAGTAATTACTCGACAGCACTGTTACAACTTTTCCCTATTACCAAGTGCCAGGCTTACGGGCTGCGATAATTACGCGACCGCGAAACAACAATTCCATGCTGATAAAAGTGAGGAGAACCAGGAACTCTAAGAACATTTATTACGATCGTCGGCGCAATACAAAGCTGTCGCTTGCGCATAAATCTTCGGGTTCTCAAGAGGAAACTCGTCCATCGGAGACGCGTCTAAACGACGGACGCGGAAAAGAAATCCACCGTTGACGTCGTCGCCGAAGGAGCGTCGTTTCTCCGAAGAGGCCATTCTCGTGGCTGATAGGCACTCGCAGGAATTGCTGGACCCGAGTAATTGGAATACCTGAGAGTCAAGTCTACACCCATGTTCGCGACTCCCACGCTCCCGGAGAGTGTGTCAGCGGAATCGAGAGTTATCTCGAGGTATCCCAGACATGGGAGCGAATCTCAAGCGATTCCGACGAAGACGTTCCGAATGATTCCCAAAGACACGATGTCTCGCCCGAAAGCGTTGTTTCGAAACTCGCAAAAGGCCTGGATCAATTTTACCCTACATACATTCTCTAATATTTCATTTCAAGACGGTACCAAAACATCAGTCGCGTACCAAAGATGCGAGAGATTAGTATAATACATAAAACGAAAAACAGATATTCCGTGAAAAGTACATGAAATTAATCGGATATAAGACTACCAGCTACTGTAGTCACGGTAGCTACATGGCCAATAAAAGTACGCCGTGTTGTCTTAAACGAGGCACCTTCGACAACATGACTAAGTGATAAGGTTACGTTTATTCGACCGCATGTATAAAATGACAAAGTAGTTTGATACGTTAGGTTAAGGAAGAAGACCATTACTCGTATTTGTACCTGTACTCACGCGCACCTATCGACATACATAAATGGAATACTTTAATTATTTCTCATTTGCATCGTCTCCACATAATTCCCCGTTATGTGTTATTAATTAATAAGCGCCACGGGATGAGCGCATTTTCCGGCACTATGAATGCGTGACCCGTGGACGAGACACGCCCCGTGCTGGCGCGGAGTAAGGCGTCGCGACGTGCGAGGAATGTTAAATGTAAAATCGCGCCAAGAGGTCTCCCTGGAGCCCGGAAGTGACGTCTACGAGACGTCGAATGACGTGTCCACGCGTGGATCCTCGAACGGTGACTCTTGGCAGACGCCAAGGAACAATGAAGGGCGAAGAGAAGAGGGGGAAAATAATGAAAAAAGAAAACAAAAGAACGAGAGAAGGGATGGGAAAGAGGTGCGGAGACGAGGAGAGCCAAGAAGAGGCGAGCGGAGATGCAAACCGACGAAACGAGATGCAAAAGCGACGAAATGGGATGCAAAGAGATGCCAAGAGATCAGGAAATGCCGCTTGTGCAGATGCGCGAGGCATCGAAATCTCTGCGATGTGGGAGCGCCCCGGGACGTCTCCCGCCGCGAGCGACGCGTCGTGGCTTATCCGGAAACGATTTGCGGTTGAGGATTAAATTGATACCGCGCGAAGAGGTCACAGGGGTCACCTTCCAGTAGGCATTTAGCGCAAAAAGGTATTAATAACTGTATTTGCGAGCAGAATAAACGATTAG